ATTCAGCCAATCAATTACGAACTAATATTCATATTCAAACCAACTAGTATTAAAGATTTTCTAAATGATATCTAGCATGAAAATAATACATTCACGAATTGATATTCAGATAACACAGAAGAGTATCTATACTACATATAAAACTAGTATTTAGAAGAAAAAATCACATTTATGAACTAGTATTCATGGCATTAAATGTAACATCCCGAACCTTTTCCCGACGAAGATATTGTCTGTTTTGTGTATCGACCCTCACAGTTTTCAACTTGGGGTGAAATTCAAGGTGACTTCCCATAAGGCCACCCATCCTCGTTGTACTCCACACCGAGCACATTTAACTTCGAAGTTCTCACATGAACTCTTTCATTTCACCCCAAAACGCGTCTTGTCAGTTAATGTCGGTTTCTTACTTATGAACCATGGATCTCTCTCGTGCTTTGTCGATATGGGATTCGCCTAAGGTGTTACATCAACCCCCCTTGGGACTCAACGTCCTCTTTGAGGTTTGCACCACCATCGTTCAAGAGGGACGCATAGAGGCTCTGATACCACTTATAACATCCCGAACCTTTTCCCGACGAAGATATTGTCCGCTTTGGGTCTCGAACCTCACGATTTTCGACTTGGGGTGCAATTCAAGGTGACTTCCCATAAGGTCACCCATCCTTGTTGTACTCCACACCGAGCATGTTTTAACTTCGGAGTTCTCACAAGAACTCTTCCATTTCACCCCAAAATGCGTCTTTTCAGTTAAGGTCGGTTTCTTACTTATGAACCATGGATCTCTCCCGTGCTTTGTCGATGTGGGATTCGCCTAAAGTGTTATATTAAATAGCAACGATCTAAAAAAACAGAAAGCCAAGAAGCCATAAACCCAGAAAGCCAAGAAACCAAATAACCTAGAAAGGCAAGAAACCAAAAAAAGTCGAGAAAAGCCAAGAAACTAAAAAAATATAACAATCGCCGGAGTGGAAAAGTCCACACAAGGGAAAAAACTTGCATATCATATCTCCATTTGAGAAACTCCAAGCTCCAATGATCCAAAGATGACCAAGACCAAATAAGATCAAAATTTCTAGAGAGAAGAGAGAGCTGAGTTTTCAAAATAAAGGAGAGAGAAAATTTGTAAACACAGATAGATACTAGTATGTGCATTTTGGATATTAGTTTTTCTCGATTGGATATTAGTTTTCTCGGTTGGTTTGACTCTCACCCAAAAAGCCACAAATCCACTGAAATGAGCTTTTTCTTGAGCCACTAAGCCCCAACCCTTGGATGTCGTCTCGGACGACGTGGCACTCACATCCCACCGTATGAGTATATATTGACAAAAAGGGTTGTGAGTTAATTAACTTTTTCAGTCCGGTCCCACCTGAACTCCCCGCCACAACCACTACCGCCGTCGTCCCAATCCCAATCCCTGACTCTCAATCTCGTTGAGTATCTCCTGAATTCCGACGAGACGATCCTCCTCGCCTCCGAGTTGATCTTGGGGACGACTTCGAGACTCAAAAGCAGGCGCATCAACTCGTAATTCTAGTAACTCACCCGAATCGTCGCTAACGACAGAGGACTACGCTAGATCTACCGTTTTACATTCTTTTGCTCATATCCAGAGCCAAAACCATGCAGGCGGAGATAACGAAGCCGGTCAAGGCCCCGACTTGCCATGGCAGATTTCGATTAGTTTCTCACCATCATTGATTTCCAGTCATATGTTGCTGCCCTCCTCGGAACTTTTGTTGGCTGGCTAACGCCAAGGAGGAGCAGAAAATCGACGGTGGCAATTGCATTCTAGGGCTCGCGAGGATCGAGAGGCACCACAAAAGGCAGATCATCAAACAGAGGCAACATAAATGGAACTCGAAAATCATATGTAGAGCTCGACAAAGAAGGAGAAGACAACAAAAGCCTCCTCGTCATCGTCGTCGTCTTTGTCCAGGGTACAAAATCATCCAATTTCGCTGAGATCGACCGGGGGGAAGCAAGTGTTGGAACTTGGTGGAACTAACCGGACCAGACCACTTTGGATCAAAACCGATCAGCCAAATTACCCGAATAAAAATGTTTCATGACAATAGTGGTGTTGGTGTACGGTAGTTTCCAATGGAGAGATACGTTTGCAATGAAAAAGGCAACTCATACTAAGGTAAGGAATCATCCCAATTCTCAATTAGATGGTTGAACTCGATTTCTTTTACCCTATTGAAGATATCCATAGAGACGAGAGAGAGAATGAATACCAAATGACTGCAACTGCGTAGCTACAGCTGACCAAGTTGCATTCTTTCAAATTTATATTTGATTGTTGACGTTAAATATTGAATTCAACTATATAAGGTTTGTCATTTTGTTTGTAATGATGTATTTTATTTAAATAAGATTGTAGTTTGTATGGAAATTTCTTTGAAATAATATTATATATATATGCGTAATTTATTTGGTTTACTAGTTTCTCACTTATTCTATGTATTTTATTAAAACCGAAATAATACAAATTATGCATAGGCTAAATCATATAACTTACTAAATCGATGATGGTAACGACATAAACTAATTTAACAATATAAATGAGACAAGTCATCTATTATTACTTTTTTAGTTTTTTTTCTTGCAAACTCTTCTAGGCTCTAGCATTTGAGTCCGGATCTGGTGACTAAGGGGGGGTGCTTAGTCACATGGCTAAGCTCCCCTCAGCCCTTAGATTAGAATGGGTAGATCTAATGGTCCAGATGAAGGAAGGGTTAATAATTAATCATAGGGGTAGTTTTGGCATTTAAAAAAAAATTAAATCCTGTTTTCCATTTTATTTATTTTTTCCTTTTTCCCCTCTCCAATTCTCTCTTCCTTTCCCGTTGTATTGTCCAGAGAGAGAGAGACGAGGCTTCTCCAGCAACGGCGAACGGCGAGGCTTCTCCGGCGAACGGCGAGGCGATTCTCCAGCAACGGCGAGCCGATTTCTTCCCGACGAAGGCCAAGCGATTTTCTCTCGGCGATCTGCCAAGCGATCTCCCGACGAACGCCGCTACGCTGGAGGAGAGAGAGGCGGCAGCCTTGGAGAGAGAAAGTAGATCTACTCGTCGGAAAACAGAGGAGAGAGAGACGATGGTGAGGAGAGAGAGGCGGCGGAGAGAGCTTCGACGACGATGGAGGAGATAGAAGCGGCGCGGTGATGGAGAGAGAGAGGTAACGACGGCTGTAGAGAGAGTCGACGGCGACGGCGGCAGCGGCGGCGGCGTGGAGAGACATCGTATCGTCATCTGAAGGAAGAACAGTGATTTGTATAGTTTGTATGTTTTGTAACATTAGTTTGTATTGTTAGTATTTTTGTACAAAATGTCAGTATGGTTTGTATGTTTTTCTTTGACAGTTTGTACTCTTAGTATGTTTTTCTTTGACAGTTTGTACTCTTAGTATGTTTTTCTTTGACAGTTTGTACTCTTAGTATGTTTTTCTTTGACAGTTTGTATTCTTAGTATGTTTTGCTTTTATTCTTAGTATGTTTCGCTTTGTATTGTAAGTACTAATAATTTGTATACTTTATATGTATTGATTTGTGATGCAAAAAACATTACAAACATGGTTGACAAAAATGACAAACATGTGGACAAAAATAACAAACATTACAAACAATACAAAAGAAACCAACAAACATTACAAACATTACAAAATACCAAACATTACAAACATTGCAAACAAACATTACAAACATTACAAACAAACATTACAAACAGTACAAAGCATACTACACGTACAGAATATCACTACTTAGAATACAGATTGGTAAACTTGTATTACAAACAAATGAATACAAAGTATACAAATCATAACATAAAAGTATACAAACTTGAATAACAAAAGTTACAAATTACAATATATACAAAATAGTCATACAAACATTACAAACAATACAAACATTACAAACATGGTTGACAAAAATAACAAACATTACAAACAATACAAAAGAAACCAACAAACATTACAAACATGGTTGACAAAAATAACAAACATTACAAACAATACAAAAGAAACCAACAAACATTACAAACATTACAAAAGAAACCGACAAACAGTACAAAGCATACTACACGTACAAAATATAACTACTTACAATACAGATTGGTAAACTTGTATTACAAACAAATGAATACAAAGTATACAAATCATAACATAAAAGTATACAAACTTGAGCAACAAAAGTTACAAATTACAATATATACAAAATAGTCATACAAAGATTACAAACAATACAAAAGTGTACAAACATTACAAAATAACCCGACAAACAGTACAAAGCATACTAAACGTACAAAATATCACAAAAAATGACAAACAATACAAAACATACTAACAGTACAAATCATAACATAAAGTATACAAACTGGAATGATAAAATTACGAAATCGTCGCCGCCAACAAATTGGCGATGTCGGTGTCTCTCTCCTCCTCAACCGCCGCTGCCTCTCTCTCCTCCACGGTCGTCGTCCCTCTCGTCGTTGTTCCTCGCCGCCGCCGCCGTTCCTCGCCGTCGTCGTTGTTGTTACTCGCCGCCACCGCCGTCTCTCTCTCTTCTCCTCTACCGCCGCCGCTCTCTCTCCTCTACGGTCGCCATTCCCCCTGGGACAATTCCCTATCCCTGCAAAACCATTGGCCGGCAAATTTGGGTCCTCTCTCTCTTTGCACTTGGTGGGATTGGGGAAAAGTTCCCGGCAGCCGGCGGCGGGGATTATTCCCAGCAACAGCCGCGGGATTATTCCCAGCAACGGCGGCGAGAATTGTTCCCAGCAACAGGTGAGGGAAGGACTTTTTTTTTTATTTACAAAATTAAAATGTATAATTACTATGTTGTCCTTCCTTAAAATGAATTAATTGTAGCCTTAGGATTTTAATGAGCATGGAAGGCTGAGATTGACTTAGCCAAGTGACTGATCTTAACCCCTAGCATTTGCTAATTAAAGTTTTTTTTTATCCTCCCTTTCTTCCATTTCTTTCCGTTTCCATTATAGCGATTAGCGACCCGACCCTGCTATACCTATACCCGATTTCCACTCCTTAGTCCTTCCTTCCCTCCCGCGCTCGCTGTGGCCACTTCCAAGCTCAGCCACTTCTTCTTGCTCAGCGCAGGCTCATGGCTTCTCTCGACGCTTGTTCTTCTTACTCTTCCTCAGCTTTCATCTCCGGTCTGCGTTCTTTACCCAACCAATTGCAGACCTGGAATCTTTTCTACCTCCTCAAGTGCCCCTCCTCTCGCCGTTACCCATCCTCCCCTTCCCCTTTCTCCACCCTCACCTCTTCCCTCCACGTCCCAGCCGCCCTTGCCGCCGCCCCTTCCCCTGCTCGACTACGTCCCCGCGCCGATAGCATCGACCTCGACAACGACCCAATCTCCCTCCTCCACCTCAGAATTCGCCGCTACCACACCAGCCGGGATTCCTCCTCCAGACCTGCCATGGACTCCAAGGAGGCCGATAAATACATTCAGCTGGTGAAGGAGCAGCAGCAGAGAGGTTTGCAGAAGTTGAAGGGAGAAAGGCAGTCCAAATCCAACTCTGACGGAGGAGGATTTAGCTATAAGGTCGACCCCTACACACTCTGTCCCGGAGACTACGTCGTCCACAGGAAGGTCGGTATTGGGAAGTTTGTCGCCATCAAGTTCGATATCCCTAGCCCTTCTTCTCCGCCTATCGAGTATGTCTTCATCGAATACGCTGACGGCATGGCCAAGCTCCCTCTTCACCAGGCCTCTCGCTTGCTTTATCGTTACAATCTGTAGGTATTCCTTCCCCTGAATTTCTCCCCTTCTCTTGTTTGTTGGTTGCATGGGAAGCTCTGTGGTTTCCTTTTAAGTCCCCATTTGAACTGAATTTCTCATCCTATCCTCGTAATGTTGCTTTTGCAGCCCCAACGAAGCGAAAAGGCCCCGGGCGCTGAGCAAATTGAGCGACCCAGGTGCGTGGGAGAAGAGAAAGACCAAAGGTAAGGTTGCAATCCAGAGAATGGTTGTTGACTTGATGGAGTTGTATTTGCACCGGCTAAAGCAAAGACGGCCTCCTTACCCGAAGAATGCTGCCGTGGCAGAGTTTGAAGCTCATTTTCCTTATGAACCCACTCCTGATCAGAAACTGGTAATGGTTTAGCAGTGTAAATCTGCACTTAATTTTCAACTTACATTGTTTCAAGTTGAGTTTACATAGAGTTGATTATCTTACAACTACCGTTCTGTCTTGCCTACTCGTGTAATACGAGATTTCTTCATGATCATGGTTAGTATGCTTGCATTTTGCACTTCATTCATCTTCCTGTCACCACTTGCAACTCATTCCATTTTCCTTGTTAGTTTTGGAAGTTGAATTTCTCAATTGTTCACGAGTTAGATACATGTTCCAGGCTTTCCGTGATGTTGAGAGGGATCTAACTGAGAGGCAAACTCCAATGGACAGATTGATATGTGGGGACGTTGGTTTTGGGAAAACAGAAGTTGCTTTGCGTGCCATCTTTTGTGTTATCTCGGCAGGAAAGCAAGCAATGGTTTTAGCACCAACAATTGTCCTGGCCAAGCAACACTATGATGTAATTTCAGAACGTTTTTCTAAGTATCCTGATGTCAAGGTCGGACTTCTTAGTCGGTTTCAGGTATAAGCTTCCTATATCTCTTGGCCCTTCCATAGGTTTGTAGCCTGTTAGGAGCTCGTATTTCACTCAAGCGAAGTTCTTTTTGAAAATGTAAATTCAAAGGTGTCATCTGAAACTATATTTTTCGTTCTTAAGCTCAGAGAGTATGTTATTTGTCTGGCTTCATGCATGCCTTCATGTTCAGTTGTTGGACTACTTATTCCCGATCGCCGGTGTCAGCATAAGATTGACTTACACTTTATCAACTGCATACACTTTACCAAATGCAGACCAGAGCAGAAAAGGAAACTTATCTGGAAATGATCAAACATGGTGATTTGGACATAATTGTTGGGACTCACTCACTTCTTGGAAGCCGTGTTGTGTATAACAAGTTGGGTCTTCTTGTTGTTGATGAAGAACAGGTTTGTCTCTGGAACCCTTGTTGATCGTGTTATTATTTGGACATATGTTGATCATTAAATGTGGAGTATTACTTGCTGTAACTAATCAAAGTAGAAAGATATGCACGTACATGTAGACTGCAATTCCATATGTCCTGTAAGATTCTTGCATTTTGCAAGCTTACTCCTGCAGACTTGTATGTTATGGGTATGTATAGATCTTATGAGCGATAGTAATATGATTCTGTTGTGATGACGTGAGAGGAATGAGGGAACATATGCAAAGTCTGGTTGTAACCTATAAACTCTATTGTTCTGTCCTCTTTTCCTGTTGTTGTAGGTCAGGTGAGGTTCATAAGGCCTTGAACGAGCATGCCCATATCCATGCTTGAAGTGCAAACACTAATTTAATGTCCATTTTCTTCCAGAGGTTTGGTGTCAAACAAAAGGAGAGGATAGCCTCTTTCAAAACTTCTGTTGATGTGCTTACTCTCTCAGCAACTCCAATACCTCGAACTCTTTATTTAGCACTCACCGGATTCCGTGATGCAAGGTATTATTCCAGTTTATGCATAGGAGTATTAGTGTTAGGCTATTAGTATTTTACATGAATTAGCTTTTTAAGATTTAATATATAACATATGTAAGTATCTTTGGAGGAATTCAGATCGTTAAGATATGTGGCACTATATAGTAAAATTAGCTATCATTGTAGGCTAGATGAAGTAATAGGAGATTGAATTGCTGTTAATTTGGATTTTGTTGTATGGGAAATGATAATTGTTCAAGGCAGCATCTTAGGTTAGAGAAGGACATGGACTTGTCCTCCTCCTGTTCAAACCGATTTCTCGATTGGTGGTTACTTTCTGGAAACTGCAATCATACATGAAGATTACAAATTAGCTCTTATTCTCTCTCTTTTTTCCCCCTAACTATGAAACATACACCTGGTTTCAGTTTAATTTCAACGCCACCACCTGAAAGGGTTCCTATAAAGACCCATTTGTCTCCATACAACAAAGAGAAGGTAGCATTGGCAGTAAAAAATGAGTTGGACCGGGGAGGCCAAGTGTTTTATGTCTTGCCACGTATTAAAGGTATTATTTGGAGTTACTTGTTTTTGGAATGCTGTTCTGATTTGCAATTTGGACTAGCATATTACTGATAACATGATTTGGTTGTGTAAACGCATCTGTGTTGATTTTGGGTGTGAAAGCTCAATGTCCACAACTTAGCTAGTCTTGCGCATTAATCAAATTCAACAGGTTTAATTTTTATGCACTTGCTGAGGTAAAAGTCAGTACTAGGATTACAGTGAGAGGGTTGAAAGAACCTCTAAGAGTCTAAGTGTCTCATTATGCATAATATGTTCAGTATTTCTTTCCTTTTTAGCTAGTATCTATTTGATTGGTCTTTACATAATTTTGGCATAACAGGACTGGAACAAGTAAACGTCTTGTTGAACAATGATTTAGTTTATTCTTCTGTAATATTTGTTCGAGTTTTGATATTTTATATGGTTCTTGGGCTGACAGGACTAGAAGAAGTTAAAGATTTCCTTGAACATTCATTTCCTGATGTCGAAATAGCCATTGCACACGGGAAGGTAAGTTTGTCTCCGTTAATATTATGTTTTTTCATAGCTCTTATGTACTCTACGAGTTAATTAGGTTAGGTCATAAAGCCCAGAGCTGACTGAGCTACCTTGTTTCTCGTGTTGCTTGATTCCTTCTGCTACCACCTTTAATGGCATACATACAACATGAATTAGCATTTCTACTTGTCCCCTATGCAGCTTGATTCATTCTGTGATACTACACTTTGATTCTCATTCATGTTACTATTGCTCCTTTGTAGCAATACTCCAAGCAACTTGAGGACACCATGGAGAAATTTGCGCTAGGTGAAATAAAGATTCTCATATGTACCAATATAGTAGAAAGTGGGCTTGATATTCAGAATGCAAATACCATCATAATTCAAGATGTTCAGCAATTTGGACTGGCACAACTGTATCAGGTTCCACTCCGACAACCTTGTACATTTTTATGTTCTCGAGTTCAATTATTGTTGCTGAACAATGGCCAGACCATTTCTCGGAATATTGCCATGTTTTTTTTCCTTCTAAAATGCTTGTTAATATCTTCCATGTCAGCTTAAGCAATGGCTGATGCATGTGTGATTCATTTTAAGTAGAAACACGATTATTCAATGAACCAATTGTCTTTCATCTCCAATCCATTAGACCCAACTTGTCATACTTTGCATATTGATTGCATCTCCTTGGTGTAGAAGTACATGTTGCTACATTTCTTTTCCCCTGCTACATCTATTCAGGTTACATGAACCCTATCAATCTACAAAATCTTAGATACTCGGGTTTCATTGCCATTGACGTTTTTCAATGTTATCACTGAAGTTACGTGGAAGAGTGGGCCGGGCAGATAAGGAAGCTCATGCTTACCTATTTTATCCCGACAAATCATTCCTAACTGATCAAGCCCTGGTATGTTATATGATTTCCTCAGCATCCGGGTTATGCCTACCATTGAAATTTTCGTGTGAATCTTGTAATCCTTTTAATTGTTCAGGAGAGACTGCAAGCAATGGAAGAATGCCGAGAACTTGGACAGGGTTTCCAAATTGCTGAAAGAGACATGGGTATAAGAGGCTTTGGGACAATCTTTGGTGAGCAACAAACTGGGGATGTGGGGAATGTTGGCATTGATCTCTTCTTTGAAATGCTTTTCGAGAGCTTGTCCAAGGTATATTAGTTGACCGCCTTCATTAGATCTTATTGTATTCTTTATGCCTGTGGACTTGCTCTCTATGTGGCATAATTTTGCTTAGTGATCTAATAATAGACTGACAAGAGGTTGTCCTCTATAGAACGATTATCCAATACTCTGGGCTATCTGTTAGTTTTGCTGTTTTTGTTCATTTCTCCTCCACTCTCTGCTTTGAACTTAACAATCATCCCTGAACTTTATACAGGTTGAAGAGCACTGTGTGGTATCAGTTCCTTACAATTCTGTTGAGGTAATTACTGCATTCAGGCCTTTAACTGCTCGACGTTGAATTGCACAAAATGAGAATTCTGAGTGATCAAAATTAACCCATTTATATAGTATTACTTGACGAAGTTGTTAACCATGCCACTCCTTTGCCTCTTATCTGCTTGCAGATTGATCTGAATGTAAATCCCCATCTTTCTTCCGAATACATAAATTATCTGGAGAACCCCATTAAAATTATTGGTGAAGCAGAGAAAGCTGCAGAGAAAGACATTTGGAGTCTGGTACAGTTCACAGAGAATTTGAGGCGCCAATATGGAAAAGAGCCCCACACCATGGAAATTTTACTGAAGAAACTATATGTGAGGAGAATGGCCGCAGATATGGGGATAATGAGAATATATGCTTCAGGAAAGATGGTTGGCATGAAAACAAACATGAGCAGAAGAGTTTTCAAGCTGATGACAGACTCTCTGTCTTCAAATGTGCATGGGAACTCCTTGGTCATTGAAGGAGACATAATAAAGGTAAGCTTTGCTACTGCCTGGTTGGTAATGCACATCTTGTTCCTCAAATTTTGAGTTTGTCTAAGGAGTTCTTCTTGGTCTGTGTAATATAACCGTAACCTGTCTTTTGAATGCTGTCTATATGATCAAAATCTATTCAGACTTTCGATGGAAATGAGATTCTGTCACAACCATGCTAATCCAGTCTCTTCCTACCATAACTTGCCTTTTACCCCTTGAACTTCTTTGCCTTAGTCCTGATCCATTCTAGATCTGAGGCATACGGAATGGTCTTCCCTTTTATACAGAAATATGAACTCAATAGGTTTGTCCTGCTAGAAATGGAATCATTAAGTTGTTATATACTGTCGTTGCTGTGTGCAGGCAGAATTACTACTGGAGCTCCCAAGTGAACAGCTGCTAAATTGGGTGTTCCAGTGCTTGTCGGAACTTCATGCGTGTCTGCCTAACCTCATAAAATACTAGATTTGCATAGGTGAACCTTAGATAGGTGGTATTCTTTGGGAGCCTGCTTATTTAGCAGGTGATTGCATCCTTATGCGGAAGCAGATCTTGGACTTGGATGTTAGTGTATGTGGAGAAGATCCAGAGGGGAAGAAGTAAAGGGATTGATAAGTAAAACATGTACATGGTATTGGCTTGGCAGAGCGTTTTGCGCGGATTTGGTTTATTATTATGAGTTCTTAGGATTAGGTGGGTCAGTTGGAGATGTCAGTGTGGGATGGCCTAGACAGTGAAGAAGAAAAACTGTTAAGGGATGGTGAAGTAGATGTAGGTTACATTAGAGTATGATTACAAGGGTGGTCCTGGATGGAGGAGACACATGACATACTGCAATTGTACTGCCTTCCATCGAAATTTTGTTTTATATTCTTAGCCAGGTATGTTGCAGGGAGAGTAGTTGTTTATTTACTACATTTATTTAGCTCAACTGGTTACCTGTGTAGATATACATATTTATATGCATTATTATTTGGTTTCTGTGTGTACTTACATAGATTTTAATGCTGATGAGTGTATGTGTGGAGGTGTTGAACCTTATCTCGACAATACTAATTTGATGAAGAAATCCAGTCGATACCCAGACCCAGACCAAGACCCAGCAGCAAGTAAATGTAACGTTTGCCAGGTTTGCCAGGTACGACTGCCCTCTTTTCTTGTTTTTTACTTTGGCAAGTGAAGATAGCATTGGAACTTCAGCTTAAAATAAACGTTCTTTCTTCTTTGTGAAATAATGTTTCCACCATCAGCTGCCATGCTGCATCTTTACAAAGAGAACAATGACAAGCCTATAAATGAAAAGGGAGGGGAATAGAAAATGTAATTGAGAAATAGGGAAGACAAGCAACACATGAACATCAACCGAATCATAGTCGGCGAGGGATCCATCCATATTTATTTCTCAGCAACAGAATGTGATCATTTCGCTCTCCGTGTGCAGATGTTGCAGTTTGATCAGTTCAAAGCTAGACAGTGGACTTTCAGCTTGCTCTTATCACTCATTCCCAACTTCGAGGCACCAACGGTATAAGGCCTTGTCGTTACCGCTGGGAATGCAGTAAGTTCTGTTGCGAAAAGGGTGGAAGCGACAGGACGGTTCGATGCTATGTCAAGGGAGTACTGCAGGTTCTGGGCAGTGATAAGGAGAACAAGCATTCTGAATCTCATCCATGTGGTAGAATGGAGATAGGAAGAAGCGTCTCACCAAATTTTCAGGGCAAAATGAACCCCAAATTTTCAGGTTTTGGACTCAACTGGAAGCAATCAGGTTATTTCCTTCACTGCAACAATCTCATAACTAATTAATGTATGAATTTATATGAAATCAGTCTCGCGCTCTTTTGTCAATTAATCAAAATGGTAGGGGACTGAAATTTATGGGAAAACAGAGGAGCGGTTACCTTGAGAATGAGATAGGAATTGAACCAGGACTTCGCCGGTAGAAGGGAGGAGGCGACGGAGGAAAGTGGGCTCGAGGTAGATGATGCTACTCGCGGCAATAATTGCCGCAGTGATGGGAGGGTTCAATGGCAATCTGTACTACTCGGTGGCGGAGCGAAGATGCCATCATTCTCGCTCTGCTCCATCGAGATAGGTTAGGGGATCGTCATGAATATGGAAACATGTAATTCCCCACCTCCGGCTAGATCCGATGATGGAAAAGATTGGCGAACTGAAATGAAAGAGCATTCGTGCCGGGATCAAATGTTGGGATGACGGCCTACTTCCTCGAGTTAGAAGTTCCTTTTTTCACAAACCATTATTTTGAAACACTTCTCTGGAGTCTCTTATGAATTAATGATAAAAGTTATGTAAATATACAAACAACATTGCAAGCAAAAGCCTAGAAAGAATGTGTAGCATCATCACAAACGCAACACCTTAGTCATTGTCAGGAACTTCAAACTCTTTTTCAATTTAAAAGCGGACCATTGTGCTACCTCCACTCTTTTTGTAACCAAGTTGATTCCATTTAGAGTCGGCGATTTGGCGACCTTAGACCCTTCATACCTTACCATCATTGGGAATGAGTGATATGATCGCGATGGAAGCTTGCTAATGGATGAACCAATAACCAAAGATGATCCGATGTTTCGTGCTGACATGATTGTCTTGGACACTCTGGTTGCTTGCTGCCCCTGCACTATTTAACAAGATGAACCAATAAGCAAAGATGTATATACTGTATGAAAGTAGTAGGAACATAGATAAAAGGACGATTTCACGAGACCTTAACACATGGAGTTGTCTTCAACTGTGGCACAAATGACAATGAATTTTCTTCTATATCGCTTTTGTTGACACGTGCTTTGCTCGAGAAACTAAGACAACCCACACCAAATACAATTAGCGACAACAGAAAATTGCAGCAGCGAATAGGCATAATGATTCAACTTGACAATAGCCATACATCCTATCGAACTGGGGTCTTAAGAGATGATTGGGAATGGCCAACAATCTCCTTCGTTGCATCAAAACCCCACCTAGAACTAGAGGTGGCAAACATGTTGGTTCCAAGTGCAGCGAGTCATTATTGGTATGAATAGGTGAAGCCAAAAGGCAAAAACATTCCTAATTTCACAAATAGAGAGCATGCTCGTTATGAGTCACAACGCGTGCTGTCTCGGATTTGGATCATGTTTGAACTTGGAACCACCATCCCTAATCCCTATCATGAGTCAAAAGGGAAAGATAGAAAGCAACATCAAGGCGTACCATTCCAAGTGATTGACACATCTGTCCTGGGATGTTAACACAAAACCTGAGTCTTCAAGCAAGGATGCAACATCACCTATAATCATCTTCAAATCCCTACATTCCTGAAATACCTGCGGGAAGAAGCCAAAATCCAGAAAGGAAAAACAATAAGCCTAAGTACCAACGTGCATTTGAAACATGAATAAATATGCATTAAACTCGCTGATGACGGGAGATATCATCTTCGACACGACATACCTTATATCTTGGAGAGTGAAGATACCGATGAATACGTTCCGAAGAGTTTTCAAATATCCGTGCTAATAGAAATGCAGAAGACAGAACCGATTTTTTCTCCTTGAGAATCTGAACAGTAACATTGTCCTCACTCTTTCCTGTCAAGCTGATTTCTTCATCGAGAACTCTCCTCGAAGCATGCAGTAAAAAGTCATACAAGTTTGGGGTATACTCCATATAGTCCCTAGTATGGTAAGAAATTTGAGGACCAAGTGGATGGTCAAACTGAAGAAGGACTCGTACGGCCATTAGAGCTGCAGTGAACTCAACAATTCGCCCCTCCGTGATGTAGATAAAACATAGTTTTGCAAGATAGGTGGGGTGGAGGACTTTCGCAGGCTTACCATACCCGAGCTCCAACTGCAACATGCATTGCATCTTTTCTACCTGCATGTGTTTCCAAAATCATATTACATTTTGGAGGAAAAGAAAGATTTGAGAGACACAACTAGCCAGAGTGGAAAACAAACAAACCAACCAAGTCAGGAAGACAAAATATGAAAAGCAACTTGAAAGCTGACTCTTGGGGGTTCCAATCCTTCAGACAAGGATGATAGCTGCATCACAACACCAACAACAGACATTGGTGAATCATACACATTTGTGAATGGTACTCAAGCCCCAAATCAAGAATGGAACTTTATCATTTTTGTTAAGAATGCAGATAAAACCAACAAGTAGTTAGCAGAAAATACCATAAATTCTCTATAGCCCTGTTGAATTCCGAATCAAGAATTTCACTTCTGCACACACTGGTGGGTCGAATTAAAAAGGCCAAATACCCTGATCTTGGCCTTCAATATACAAAAGCTCGGTTAACTTGGAGGAATAATTCATTAGTACATAGTTACAACAAAGAGAGCTATAAAGACAAACAACAAGGGAGTTGAAGGCTCATATATGAGAAACTCAAGGCAGGCGTTGGTCGAGTGCTGCCATAGCTAGGCTGCTACGGGCTACCATAGATATAGGCTGCTGGGATAGAGATAGTTACCAGTGACCGTGCATCATATTACGGTTGACCGGTCCGCTAGGGCTGTCGAGGCAACCAAAAGGGAGGGAAAAGAAACAACACATAGTTAAAACTTAAAACTAACATCTGAAATGAGAGATAGACATGAAGTCAAACAAAGAAAGACAGCCGTTTGGCTCGGATAGTTGATTACTATGGATAGTTAATCTCGGAATCTTGGGTGGATATGATAGGGCTGCCAAGGCAACAAAAACAGACAAAGATATAGATTATTGTATTACAAAGATTGAAACTTTATACAACAACAACAACAACAACGAAGTAGAAGGAAGTACCAGTTCAGAGAAGTTAAAGGGATCCCAGCTCCTTCTAAGATAGTCTGGACCTGTTGAGCAATTGGGGAACTGGAAAGATGCTGTTTCTCTTTTTCTAGCAAAATTGGGATTAAGTTAGACAATTGGGTGCCAGCTTTCTGAAAGACTTCAAGTAATAGCAGGGAAGAGGTGAGGATCGACCGCTTTTCCTCCAAAGACTTTATCAATTGGGGATCATCGCCATCGCTGCACCACCGGATGTCGGCGACCACGAAAGCAAGCTGAGAGGTAAGGAAATCGCGGAGGGAGTAGTCTTCCAAACGTGAATGCTGCAACTCCAAGCGTCGAGTTAGGCAATGCAAGAATGTTGGGGAGAGAACTCGATCAGGGACAGCAAAGAGAAGCCAGAGCAGCTTCGCTGCCTGGCCATTCCTTGCATACCGGAAGATTTTCATCTCCAGGTCTTTATCCTTGGCGCGCCCGAGCAGCTTTACCGTGTGCCACCAGTTGAAATTGTCGGCGCTGGAGATCCATTCCGGCAGCCAGAGGATCAAATCGGAGAGGAGGAGGGCGCCGCCGCCGCTTTGGCTTTCCTCCATCTTCTTGTTCCATTCATTGCAACTGGTCTCGAGCGCGTAGTCGATGGCACTCGTTTCAAGTTCTTTGGGTTCGAAGCTCGAAAAAACATGGTACGGACGAACCCAATGGCGAATCAACAGCTCGATCGCCTCGTGAAACCCTAACTTAGCAGCATAATGCAGGGGCAGTTGGCAGTTCCCCACCGGTCCGCGGATATCCAACCGATTGTGAGCGATTTTCCGCTCCAAAAGTGCGGTGATGCAACCAATTGCTCTCGACTGAATCAACTTCGCCACCACCTCAGGAGGGCAGCATTTAGATTTAGGATCCAAACTCGCTAAAAATGCTTCCACATCATCCTCTTCCACCGCCTCCTTCTTCACCATGGTAATCCAATGCAGCTCCGACGTCCGGCGCTCTGTAACGGTAGAAAGCCAGAGGAATTGAGAGAGAGAGTGAGAGACAGAGAGAGAGGCGGCGGAGAAAAGGAGATTCCTTTCTTTCCGGATTTATTTAGGTAAATAGGTAGACAATCCCAATGAGAAGGGACTTTTTTTTTGGTTCAGTGGTTCACTCTCGCGGTTCTTTTTCCCTCTTCTTCTTTTTATCTGGTTTAGTCCCTGGAGTAGTCGGCTGTTTTCAATTTGAGCCGTCAAATTTTGTTTTTGTAATTCAACGCCATTTGGTCATTCCTCCAAACAAGAAACAACTTTCATTCCTCCCTGGAAATGTCGATGGTCCTATGGGAGGTCGATCCATGACTGGACTTATCTTCAGATACCCTCAAAGAGGTGAGCATGAGGATTAAGAGTGGAGTCGAGTCCCAATACATATCCACTGATACTAGTTAATTCTATCATCTATGGATACAGCTAAGGTGCATCAAAAGAATATTTATATGTCGTTCAGAACCATGTCATTACTCTCTTTATCACTCTTAAGAACCTCCAACTTTTCCCAGATGCATTTTCCAGCTGTTTTGTTCCATTAAGCTTTTTCACAACAAAATTTACCTTATTTGTTAAAGGTAACGATGAGGGCTTCGATCCTTCGAACCTCGAAATCGAGAATGAGTGATAAAAACGAGCTGAAAGTTTGCCAATGGGTGAAGCAACGAACGTTGATCGTTCTATGGTTCTTCTGGAAATTGTCACCGCCTTTGTTGTATGCGAAAGTGGTCCAAATGATGATGATCTTCCTTCTAACTTGGTTTCGTCGATACTAGAATTGCTTGAGAAACTATGAACATACAAAAATATACAATTAGCAATATAAAAAGGCAAAATGGATCGAATCATACATAACATTTTGCACACTAATATTATCGGTTTCGAACCCTATGTCATGTATTTTATGGAATTAAAGACAAAAAATATGACAAAGTGCATACCATCTTAAGTCTTTCACACAAGTATCTTGAGATCTCAACACAAAGCCGACGCCTTTTAGCAAGGAAGCAACATCGTTTACTACCAGCTCCAAATCTCTAACTTTCTGTGGGAGCGCAAAACAATACATTCAAGGGAGAGTGACTAACTTCTATGTTTGACTATCATCAAATGAAAATGAGATTATAGATACGAAGTACACACCTTATATCTTGGTGAGTGAAGATACCAATGAATATCTTGCGCAGACGTATCAAATATCTTTATTAGTAGGAAAGCCGAAGATATCACTGATTTTTTCTCCTTGCAAATCTGAATAGAGTTGTTGTCCTTAGGTTTTCCTGTTAAGCTGATTTCTTCATCAACCACTTTCATCAAAGCATGCAGTAAGAATTCATATACAGTAGGGGAGTGAGATTGATGAGGATGATCCACATTATTAAAGCTATTACGAGATGTTTGAGGGCGTAGTGGATAACCCAACCGAAGAAGAACTTGTGTGGCCATTAGAGCAGCTGTGAACTCAACAATTCTGCCCTCCCTAATGTAGATGAAGCATAACTCAGCAAGATACGCAGGTTGGATAATAGTTGAAGGGTTGACGTACTTGGACTCCAACGGTATCATGGATTGCATCTCTTCCACCAGGTCAGGGAGGCAAAATATGAAAAGCAACTTAAAAATTGACATTTGGGATGTCCATTCCTTCAGGTAAGGATGATGGCTGCAGAACAATGACAGAGAAATCGATCAAACAAAATCATTGGAAAGATCCTCTGCTGCATGAAGAAAAATAACAACAATTTCATGTTTGTAAGGGCACTACATAATCAAAACAATTGGTGAACACAGTGTACCATAACTTCTCGATGGCCTTGTTGAAGTCTGAATCAAGGATTTTACTTTTGCAGACATGCGGTGGTCGAATCAAGAACTCCAATTCAGGGTAGTCGTCTCTTTGGGGAGTCCTACAAGGCCACCGGACCATGCAACCCAGTTAAGTTTGGGTATGCATCGAACAGAATCAGGAGAAGCCATGTATATATGTTGAACTTGGTTTGATATTGTTTGTCAAGGCCTCAAGGGTTACTTATTGGGATACTTACCAGCGATAGTCAGGCTCCGGCTTATAGTTCCGGTGAGCGACTCTGACCGGGCTGTCAACAAACACAAGGCAAAGTACTTTAGACACATATATGCATTCTACATGGACAAAATGAACAAATTAAGTACCAACGGAGAGAAGCCATAGTAAAGCCAGCTTCCTTGAGCACAGTCTTGATTTGTTGAGCAATTGGGTAATCGGGAAGAAGGGGATACATTTGCCTCTGCTTTTCCCTTTCCCTTCCCTTTTCCTTTTCCTTCTCTAACATTTCCATCGAGTGACACAACTGGGGGCCAGCCCTGCGGAAGACTTCGAGCAAACGCAGGGAACAAGTGAGGCTCAACATCTTGTACCGCAAATGCCCGCGGATCGAATCAGGGCGGGGAGGACGATTGCGATCGATGGTGTGATCAATGTCAGTAGGAAAACGACGATTAGGTTCGATGGTGAAGCTAAGGCCGGTAACAAAAGCAAGCTGGGCAATAAGGAAATCGCGGAGGGACAAAGAGGCGGTTCCAAACCGCTGCTGGAGAAGGGTGTCGCTGAAGAATGTTGGGGAGAGAACTCGGTCAGGGACGACAAGCAGGAGCCAGAGCAGCTTCGCGCCTTGGCCGTTCCTTGCATACTGGAAAATCCTCATCTCCAGGATCCCCTGTTCGGTGGTGCGTGCCAGCAGCTTGACCGTGTGCCACCAATCGAAATTTTCGCTGATCCATTCGGGGAGCCAGAGCATCAAACTACAGAGCCTTTGCGGATAATTAATATCGTACCGGCCTAGCAAATCCCACTGGTCGTCACAACTGGAGTATAATGCGTAATCGATGGGAAGCCGCCCTGGTTGTCCATGACTCGGAGGAACCCCGTGGCGCAAAAACAACCCGACCGCCTCATGAAACCCCATCCAAGCAGCCGTAGATATGAGGGGTTTGTTGCAGCTAGAAAAAGCAAACAGATCCAAGCGATTGTGAGGGAGTTTGCGTTCGACAAGGGCGGTGAGGCAACCGATTGCTCCTTCCTCTAACAATTTTGACACAGTCCGACTGGGGACTGTTTCATGGTTAGGGTCCAACGACGCCAGAAAGGCTTCCACATCCTCCTCCTCCTCCTCCTCTACCTCCATAGCTGATCATAAAGATGATAAAGCACACCAAATGGTTAGTGGGTTAATGGAATTAAATAAGTAAAGGGAAGAGGTCACGACGGACACGAAGTGAATCATTCAAAAACCGCAGGGAAAAGTTTGCCTAACCGTAGTCCGAGAGAGGACGGAGCTTCTTTTTGTAGATGCCTGTGACGCCGTCATCAACTTCGAGTGAGCTTTCCCAGATCCATTCTCTATGAGAACTTACGTGACCTCCCAACGATCTGCCACTACGGAAGCGCTTGCCGCAGTATTTGCATAGGTGCTTCAACTCATCATTGTCTTCCATGGATTCGGGATTCTGGATGAGTTGATCGCTTGTGGCTGTAGCAGAAACAGAGCAACAATAATGAAACAGGGGAAGTTAGGAATGGAAAACAGGGGAGATGGATGGATCACACCAATTGTCTGCTGCTTGCAACTTCTTCTCTCTTTGATAACGAGCGAGCGAGCGAGCGAGGAAGAGAAGACCGGAAGAGGGAGAGGACAGTTGGGTAAACGTGACGAGAGCCGAAAGGCGAAGGAATTTTTGTTCGGGTAGGAAACCAACGCAGGCGGCGGCGCAGAAGATTTAGTTCGTTAGTTAGTTACTTAGAGGCCTTGGCGCGTTAATTTATTCATTATCTTATTTATATAAAACTATCATTAATTCCTGGCAATAACCCGATTTCAAATTTTCAATGTGTTAATGACATAAATATTGTCGGGAGAAGATAGGGCAGTTAGCACCATCCTAACTTCTTTAATTAACATTCATTAATTATAAAGTAAATCTGACGGTGATGTGCAGTGGAAGGTATATTAGGTATTTTAAAAATTAAAAATTAATTAAACATAAAAGTTAGAAATATATTTTTTCTCTCTATAATAATGATTTGCTATGTTAAGAAATAATTGTTGAAAAAGCACTACTACTTAAATTAGTAGTGATTTAACTTAGATGTTGTTGTGATTTTATACCAGTTGTTAGTGGTTTTATTGTCATTGGTAGCTTTTTATAATTAGAAGTTAATTGTTAATATTTAGAATGAACACGAATGAAAATGAAAAGTACTACAAATTAATAAATAGTACGATAACTATACAAAATATTTCAAATAATTATCCAATATCATTGCTAATTACAATAAAAATCACTACTCATACATATAAAACCACTACTACACAAACACTACCACCCAAAATAACTACTCAATAGAAACAATCTCGGCCTTAATCCCATTCCCACAGCCAAGGATATTGAAATTCCATCAGCGCCGCCACTTCCCTTGGTTTGGAACCCTAGCAGCGCAGAAGCTTCCCCAAGGGGTGATAGCAGATCTATAAAGGTTCTCGTGGTGATAGTAGATCTGGCCAGCGAAGGATAACGGTGATGATGGCAGGAGATGGGAGAGTTGACGTACGTCGGCTGGAGAGATGTGATGATAGTTTCTTTAGCGGATCTGGACACCAATGGAAGCACGATGTTGTCGTCGCTGCCGCTTCCGCCTAGGCGAGGCTTGATATGAAACTCGCTCGACCTCGGCTGTTGGCAGAGACGAAGATGGTGGAAAGGCTAACGAAGTAGGCGACGACGACGAAGGTTCGGGCGGCGCATCGCTGGTTCTGGCACTCTCATCGCACAAGAGACGAGGCAGAGTGAGGAGTTGGTTCGTGTGTGAGATGTGGGTTTGTGGGAGAGGGGAGGCGGTTAAATAGTATTTATATTATGGTTTAGGTGGGTATTGACTAAACTATCCATGATTTAATTTTGTCCATAGGATTATTTTTTAATGTAATGGCTATTAAATTAGTTAGGATGGTGCTAACCCTTTAAAGAGTTAGTACCCAATCCCATTCCAATATTGTCTTTTTTTTTTAATTTATCACAAATATGGCAGTTTAAAAACTATTGACACATAAATTGTGTTTTTTTGTAGGGTTGAAGTGTGTCAGCCGAGACTCAGGCGCTGGCGCGTTTTGAGTTTTTTCTAACGAGTTGAAAGCGCCCGAGATTGAAGCGTGCCCGTCCGAGACTCAGGCGCTGGCGCGATTTGAATTTTTTCCAAAAATTTAATAGCGCCATCTCCTGAGACTCAGGCGTCCTCACATCCCTCTTTTCTTATCTTCTTCTCCACCACTCACCAGTCTCGCCCGAGAGAAAGAAAGAACACAACATCAGTCGTCCCCCCGACCCCCACACCCACCAGTCCGAGACGGTACCGCCGAGCAAGGAGGCTGCAGGGAAGGTATGAGGATTTTCATATCTCCAAATTGTTATTTTGTGTGTGAATTGCCTTTGATTAGATATGGGTGCTTCGTTATTTTGGTACCAGTGCTAAGCACGCTGGAAGAGATGGTTGTGCAGATAGTTCTATGTTTTATTCCCGTCTGGTTTTGGATGTAGATTGACTTTTATTGTGGGTTACTATGGAGCTAAATTCTTTAGCCAAACACAGCGAACCCTCCAGGAACAAACCAGACAATACCAAGGTAGTCATGGTTAACCAATGGCAGAGGTCGGAACCGCCAAATCAGGTATCTTTTCAGCTTATGGAGTTAGTGTTTCCTTTGCTTGAAGATTGTATGTTATACTGATTGTGTTGTTGCTAGAAGAGAGGATCTTTCGGGTTGCCCTTATTCACCCATCTAAATATCTTTTTGGGTTGCCCTTATTCCATCTAAATTCCATCTACATATAAATATAAGTGAGAGAGCTATGAATGAATTTAATAGCCATACTAGGTGAAATTTGAGTTCCTTTAATTTTGTGGCGAGAGTTAGAATTGGCAAATTCTTTTTTGTACCAATATTTTATATATTCATTTATTGAAAGCGTCAACAATCAGATTTTTCGACAAGCTGCCTGCAAATGCAACCCCGGTTCACCTTTGGAGCGATTCTCCAATTTTGCTTGAAATATTTGTATCTTCGTCCTATCTCGAATTCATCATCAGACAACTCTCTTTGCTTTTGAGATTTGTGTCGTTGTCATCCTCAAGTGCTGACGACACTACTCAAACCCTGAATTCGTCCATGCTAACTTCAGTAGCTCCATTGGTTCATGTGCTTAGAGTTTTGTCATAACTGAATAGTTTTAGGAAACAAAGTTGGCCATAATTTCTTTCTGTAATGAACCCTTAAGCTTATGCTGTTAAATCTATATAGTTAAACTTAATAAACTTAGTTTTTTGTCCACTACTATTTCAAATATCCATGCTAAACTTAAATTATACCAATGAATGCAAACTTTAACAAACTAAGTATATGACAATGATTTGTAAACTTTTGCTCAAAGAAAGATTTCAATTCACATCCTCTATCACGAGTGTTGAACTTAAAGGTGCTATTGAGGGACTATGGATTGCTTGGGAGAGAGGGTAAAGGAAAGACTAGCGTAAATAGGACTCGACTGCTGCAATTAATATTGCCAAAACCTGTTTGATGATGACCAACGTCACAGGATCGTTGCAAGATAGTTCTACATCCTACTTAATCTGGTGTGGGAGGTATGAATAGATAATGTGTATAGAGAAGCTAATTTGCAGCTGATTTCTTAGCTAATAGGGGTCACTTTGTTAATTTTGGCACACATCGTTTCATATGTGTGTGATCCTGGTCTTGGATGATGGTTGTTACACGACATCATGGGCATTTCTCATGATCGTTCTATTTTTAATATGAATTAGACGCTATTACGTCAATCTTTCAAAAAAAAAGAGTTAAATTCATTTCCCTCATTCACATTGAAAATGGTAAAAAATTCAAAAATACATGTCAATATTCTTATATTATATGTAATTATATAATTCGTGTCATGATCAACAAGAAAGATAAAAATTGAAAAAAGAAATTCATGTATACTTTGAATTCCATCAAAGTACGATCATTTTCTTTTATGGTGAAGATTGATTATGTATGTATCATAGGAAGCAACTCACACATTATATATGGACTGTTTATATGTGCAACACTTTGTTTGAAACATATGCGTTACTATTGGATGCATTCCTTTGTTAGTCATTTTGACTTTCTCATGTTTTCAATAGGTTCTAAGTATACTCAAAGTAATTTGAGTGTTTGACTAGAAAGTTCATAGCCAAATGCAAAACAAAATAAACATCATTAGTATAAATGGACATACAAATTACATAACCATCGAACTTTACCGGCCAACAGGTTGGGCCCTGTGCTAGTTTTGAACAAAGAACACACACATTTGAAAGCGGGAGGAGAGGAAAACGGGTTAAGGATAGTAGTAAAATCATTGTACAAGTAGAACACACTTCATTAGCATTGCCTAACTATTTTTATTATTATTTCAAATTATTTTTAAAATATGTTATAGCTTGTTTTAAAAAGAACTAGACAACCATATCATAAAGTATAAATCAAATTAGAAAATCCACAATGCATATTATGAAAGTATACAAATTGTGCAATTATAAATACTTTAAAAGAACAAGTAAGAATTCTATTGTTCCATAGTGTCACATCAAAGTTAATTTTTTATTAATTAAAATCAGCCAATGGGATTAACTTTTATTAATTAATCAATCTATTTTTCTTAATGCTTTCTTTCTCTCTTCCTTTCTTTATTATGTGCATAATTCTCATTAGTACTTTGTGGTTAGGTCATGAGTTTGTACACAATAATACATTTAGTAGTTTTAAAGTGTTGATGTCATGAGTAACCAAGAATTTGAAGTGCTTGCCCATTTGGTTTTATGCAGGAGGCGAAAATTATGTGAGATCTCTATTCTGCCCGTATTTTCTAAAGAGATTTTATAGTATCTAATTAAAGGACTAGGTTATTCATGAAAAAGGCAAATTGGAAGATATGAAGTGGAGTGTTGTTTTTTGTGTTTCATATTTTGAAGTAGCAAACATATCCTTCCTACTTCTTGCTATGTTTTTTTGCTCTGAATGTGACTACAGTAGGTCCAGTATTGTATTTGTGTCTCACTTCATTTTTACATGTCCTGACTTTTTTTGCTAATAGCAATGTGTTCAGTTGGAAAATTATGGATGGAGAACTCAGTAGTGAATTGGATCTGACGATGGTTCGTCTGCATTGAAAGCAAGATCAACTGCAATCCAAAGTATATATACTATTTCTACGCGAAGCGAAGCGAGCGGGCAATGACTAGTAACTATATAAACCATCATTAAGTATATATCTGCTGATCCAGCAGCTTTCTTGCATACTGGAAGATCCTCATCTCCAGGACTCCTATTAATAACTCCGGCGATGGTTTCTATTTTCCCGCAGCGGCAATAGGCGATGACGAGCAGCAGCAGACAAGTCGCCGGTTATGTCCAACGAGGAGAGTGAGGGTTGCGGCCGCTAAGGAGTTCCGCCAGGGAGCTGCGTCGATGGGGTCCCATCAAAATTGATTTATCTTAATTCTAGATAAAAAAAATTTTGGAAATAAAATTTTAATAGATATATGTAAGATAAACTTCATTTCAATTATTAAAATTTTAATTATTATATTATTTGTATATATAAACGTATAAATGACTCAAACCGGTTGAACCCCGATCAGACCAATAGATATCAAATCTCTTGCTTGACCGGCTCAATGACTTAAACCGGTTTGACAATATTTAACATGTTGACCAATCTTTTCGATCTATAACATCGTGGCTTCAACTGTGCTTTAAATATATGAAATTGGCCAAACCGGAGAATTTACCGTTATGTTGGACACTAAAACCATTGACTAACGGTCAACTCGCCATGTCACTGCCAAATCAGCACAAACCAACTTTTTTTTTCCACCTATTATCATTTATCTTTTTTATTTTGAAAAAAAAGAGAAACAAAATTTAATGTTACTCTATATTTTAGTAAGGAACAGTGAATTATACTTGCACTTATATAATATAATAATAATAATTATTATTATTATTTATAATTGTTCATAATGCAAATTAAGAGCATTATGTAAGAATATACAAGTTTGGAGTTTGTTCAAACGCACTTTATATTTTTCTAAAAGAGAAATGACAATATATGAAACGACAAGAGAAATTATAGTAACTATATAATAGCTATATACTCTAACTAAACCGCCTAAATCAATAGTAACTATATAATAGTACATACTCGAACTAAAGTGGACCTCTGGTATTTCTGCAGGATACATTACTTTACTGCCCCTGAACGTGTGCCTGAATTGCACATACTGGATCTGGATGGTGGATGGAACCTTCAGTTTGATAAGACTCCAACAGTTGAAGGTTTCAATGAGAAGTGACAGCATACAGGCAAGTGTTGGTATCCACCTGACCTGTCTTTCCAAAATGAAATCGCCGCCCGGTTTAATCACTGCATCTTTCCAAAAGTGGGAGGAAACCTTGCTTGATTATACGTCGTCAAATTCAAATATAGAGTCTCGTCTCATTCTACCTGTATGAACATCAAAGTTCCAGCAATGTTGAGGATAATCAAACTTGATGGTGGTGATACGTGATTTCCACCATGAGTGCTCCTCCTCGTTGAGGAATTGAGAGCCATTTTTAATTCTTCTTTATTAACCAAAATATACTAGTCTGAATTCTTTCTACAACACAAAACAACTCTACGGTACAAAATCATATCATTGATTATACAAATTAACGATATAGTATGAAAACCACGTTATAAAGTATACATATACAAACTATCAAACAAATGTACAAAATCAAAACTCACATGCTTGCAAATTACTAAACCGAGGTTTTGGTATTCATCAAATCGGAATTTTAGAATAGAGATGAAGATGAAGATGAGAAGGCGACTTAAGTCAAAGTCGAGAAAGGATAGGGATAAAGAGGGTGAATGGAGAAGGTTGGTCAATTATAGTATTATGTTAGGGGTACAAATGACATTTTGTAACGGTTTGATTGAGGTTCAACATTGAATGATAAAATTTGGAAGGAAATTGTAGCGGAAGGATACATTTAGTATCATGACCATAGTAAGACTATAGGTATGACAAATGATTGACTTGTAAAAAAAAAGGTATGACAAATGTCGAGAACGAATAGTAAATACTTACTACCATACTAAAATTATTTTAGCATTTACCCACTCATATTCACACAAGAATTGGGTAGAAAATCAAACCATGATCACACCCAATTAGATTTTTGAGTATCCATGGGTATATATAAATAATATTTTCCCTTTATAACTCGACCGACATTTTAACAATTAGATGTTGACATTTCATTAGTAAAAAAGTATAACAATAAATATAACTAAACAAAGTAGTTAAAAAGAATAGAAATTGGTGTAAATGTTATATACTTATAGTAAATATCCAACAAGTTGAAAAAATAGTGATGATTTATAGACAAATTATACTTACAAATACATAATTTGACAATTTTGAGTTGGATAGTTAGCAAATCATGTCACCGTTATTCGCAATATTCGAATTCAAGTTGTACCTAAATCCATAGAAAATATTTTAGAGTTTTACTTTACCCTAATCGATTAAATCGGATCCGGATAGATATTCACATATAGAGTTTTACCCTAAAGCGAAATATAATATTGGAACACCTATGAGAAAAAGTTTAGTTAGTAAATACTCCGTTTAATACACGTATATGTACCCGTACGTAATTTATCCGTTTAAAACTTCCGTATCCGTATTATTTTTAAGTCATTTCATTTTTATCCGTTCATTTGATCGCTTATGTACTAAACACGTATAAAATCCGTATAACACGTTTTATATCCATATTTAATGAATTAAATTATTAACTTTACTATTATTTATATATTTTTAAGATAATTAATTTTATATATTTATGACTATTAACGTACTATTAAATGTAATATTAGCTTAGAGACGACGTAAAATACCCGTACGTATTTTCTATGTAACTTTCCTGTACCGTATTTTACTAACTATACTAGATTGGTAAATTTTGCTAATATCCATAATTCTTATTATTTATAAATTTATAATGAAAATTAAGAACGTGTAAGGAAGATGTAAGATATTCACACATTTTATTATACAAAAATATGAAGTAATAAAAAAAATTGCGCATGCATGATACCGTCTATGACAAAGTTGTGAATTTTCTAGCCACAACCTTTTGGTGCAAGTTTCATAAAAAATGAATTTTGTGTTTGAATTTATTAAGAGAGGTTGAGAATGCATCAATCTTGTATTTGAATGTCAATTTGTTAACAAAAAAAATCGTGAATGCATGATTCAATTTCTAAATGCAAAAACAGTGAACATCACGTTTAAAAAAGATTGAATAATTATCAAGTTGTCTATCAAAAAATTTCTTCAACTAAATAGACATTGAGCACAAAAATTCTACGAACCGAAACTCAAACTCTACCTCTTCTTCCCTCTCCATTTGAGTAATGCCAAATTTCATAAAAAGTAAGCATGCATGTATTTTAGTTATTTGATTTAGTTGATTGTTTATTGAACTCAATTTGTGCCTAACTTCTTTTATTGTTGTTGTTTTCGTTTACAGAGATCTACAATAAAGTTGTCAAACCCAAAGATGGAAGAGGGACTAACAGGGAGCCTCCGGCATTGAATGTTATAAGCTCTCCTCCACGTTCAAGTCGTGTTTCTTCACAAGAGAATGTAGAAGAAGAGGAGAGGAGTGTTCGTGATAGAGTTTCAATGAGCACTACCTTCTTTACACAAAATGAAGACCTCGAATTTCTTATGAGGAGCGAAGGGAACCGAACCATAGACAATCTAGCCTTCTTTCGCTACTTTGAAGACGATAATCCCCACCCTACTACCTTCTCCCCTTCTTCTTCATCAAACAATAGAGTCTTTACCTCTTTCCCTTCTCCACCGAGCAATAATATCCCTCATCACTTTCATCACTACCAACCACACACCTCTTTCCCGTTTTCTCAACCGAGCTACAATACTCCTCACAACTTTCGACGATACCACCCACACACCTCTTTCCCGTTTTTTCAACCGAGCTACAATATACATCACCACCCAAACACCTCTTTCCTGTTTTCTCAACCGAGCTACAATGTTCCTCACCACTTTCAACCCTACCACTCACACACCTCTTTCCCGTTTTTCGAACCAAGCTACAATATCCCTCACCACCCGCTTGCCTCTTCCCCATCTTTTCCCTCGAGCAACAACAACCTTCATTTTTTCCAATATCACACCGACGGTCCATCTACCTCCATCCCTTCTTCTGAACTGAACAATAACGAGGTCTTCACTGATGAGAGTGAGGAGGAGGAGGATGTTGACGATGATGGAGTTGCTGATGACAAAGTTCGCTTCAGTGTCAAGGACGAGGAAGTTTATCGGGTTTTGGAGATCCTCACCAAAGAAACAAGTTGTCCTAGAAAAACAGCTAAAACAACATGGAAATGGGTCGGGCTACGCTATATGATCGACGACGATTTTATCATGGAGTTTAGCAAGTTGAAACCCAAATTCAAGGATGCCTATGTGGAATCGATCATAAGGTACAACATTCTGATTGTACCATTTTGGGATGTAGTCACAAATAAGATGAAAAGGCCCTTTAAAAGAGTCAAGTTGGTGAAGAGGAAACTACTACGACGTCAACCACTCGAAGTTGGAGGGTATGTGTCAATTCTTTAGCTTCTCATGCATATTGATATTATTGCTCTATAATTGAACTTCAAACTTTCTACTTTTCGCCTATCTTAAAGTTTTCATCTTTAAAGCATGCATGTCTTGAAAGTCATGGAATTGGCTTCCTAAAATTGCAGCACAAGTAATTTTAACTTATTTCATCATTAATTTGAAATAATTTGGTTACTACATTTTCTCTAGGTACTTCTTGGATACGGATTCCTCCATAAGAAATGGCTACATATACGTAGGACTAGTGTTGAGGAACCATATTGGAAGAGTGTTGTGGACTCACACGGTAATCGAACACAACCCAACTAGGGATATGATAATCCATCCACAAGTGGCAGAGCAAAATGGGATCTTCCTTGCATGCAGGGCATTGAAAGAAGAGAAGCCAAATTTGGTTAAAAATATAAGTGAGCTTAGAATTTACAATGATTCGGATACAATGGAATCTACGGATGATCACGAAGAATGGGCAAATAAGTAAATTTATCTAGCTGTCATTTTAGTTTAATGTGATTGCCTTCCTCACTCTTAGATCATAATTCAAAATTTACTAATTGTTTGTAGGGTCAGAAATGCTTTGGAGAATTGGGAAATAGAAGTGGCATTTCGCTATGCACCTAGAAAAGCGATAGCATTGGCAAATGCATTAAACCGAAGGGAGCTTGCGGATATTCTAAACAAGAGGCATCCTACAATCAACGATATGTATCCCGACCTCCTCAAATATGTGGAAGATTTGGGCATCATGTATATTGAGGAGGACGATATACAAGGGGAGGCAAAAGACTACAATCGATATGAAAATGAACCTCATAGATATTATGATGTTCAAAACAGAAAAGATGCAAGCAAAGATGATAAGTGTGAGGAGGACACTTATAAGAAAAAACAAAAATAGGTACGAAACTCACTCCATTTTTTAAAAATTTATTTCATAAACTGTCATCTAATGGTCCAACAACGACTTATATGAAAATCACAATATTTCAGCACTACCTGATGGGAGTAAGCGGTCAAAGCAGGCATGGAGCTTATTTTTCCCCTATTTTAATTAGTTACTTCTTCACAAAAACAAAAAGACAAAAAAACTGAAAGACAAAAAAAAAAAAAACCAAGCTCTATTTGCCTATTTTTCGCTTTCATAATTTAATGGGCTCTTTTCTAGAAAAAATCGTTGTTGATCGAGGTAGTGAAGTAAGAAAACTCAACTATCAAGAAGAAGACCCAAAAGAAAAAGGTAAGTAAACCCTAGAATCCCTCCTCTCAAAATTGATTGTGAAACGAGATTACCGCAACCTTTGGAGGAATGCTGGTTGGGTTTCCTCTGAGTTGTTATGGCTTTTTTATGTAATCAATTGAAAGTTCGTGTCTTGCTTTTTGACTGTTGGGTTTTCTTTGGATGCAGTACTCCTTTCCAAGTAGTCAATACTATCCTTTCCAGCTCCAAGTCTTACTACCCTGGTCAGACAATTCCGCAGCAACAACAACCTGTTTTAGCTTCTTTTCTATGGATTTATGTTCAGGATGTTTGCATTGGTCCACTTTGATTACTGAATTATGGCCAGAGAGAAAGATGCAGCTCTTTTTAGAAACTTTGCTGGTTCAGAAGATTCAATGAGTTATCCAGTTGATGTGGGTGCACGTGAGCCTTCAGGGGTATAGATGGGGCTCTGTCTATGAGGAAAGTTGTGGTCTATAGAGTGAATTCCTCTATGTATGTCCTTAGTTTTTCTTGTATTAGGTTGTTCCCGGTAGCTGGTAGTGAAGTCTCATTGGGCTGCCATTAGCTTTTGAGATGTGTTGTTGTGTTTTAGAAGGTCACTGAAAGTTAGTGTTGAAGTTGTAGCCCTGGTCTGAATGAACTACATTGCTACCGTGATAGGGATTGTGGGATTCCACCCACTCTTCTTTTGATGAAATACAATCTCTTATCTAGTTTTTATTTCTGTCTCTTCTTGTTCACAGAGTTCATATTCATTAGCTGGAACAACACCATGTACCGAGGGAAAAATTCTTACCCTTAGCTATATTGGTTCCTTTTGACATCTCAGTTTGATAATTAAGTGCTTTTAACCATAAGTTGTTGCTTGTTTTCCTTCGAGGAAACGGAATTCTCTAGTGTCGGTTCTGTTTTGTGTTGAATTCAGCATCCTATACTTGAGAGATGTATAGGTGATCTAGAGAATTCAGCATCCTATACCTTTGCTTATAAAGACATTGTCGGTTCTGTTTTGCGTATTGACTGCACAAGGTAATAAGCAGAAAAGGAAAAGAATGGAGGCTGAATCAGATATCACTAGGGTTTGGTCTACTGCATTGCTTGTCCCTTTGAAAATTATCACATAATCCCTTTGCATTAGCAATGAGTCCATGTTTAGCAGCATGTACATCAAGGTAGACAACTGCAGCTCCCTTGAGCTCTTCCGTCAGCTTTGCAACTCTATCCTTCAACGGCCTGTTGAACTCAACTGACATCTCATTATGAGTCTTGACTCGATCAAGCTTCATGAGATGACCCAGTGGCGGAGGATTTGAGAATTGGAACAAGTTCGCAGGCAAGGAGCTAGTAAGGAGAGAAATTAACGAGGGGAGCATCTCGGAACAGGTAAAATTCCAGTTTGTAATCAAGCAAAATCTATAGGCTAGTCAAGCTAGTGAACATGGTACAACTTGCAAAGAACTGGCCTTTCCTTTTCTCATCAGCACACAAGAACATTTCAGCTTTACCGTATGGGCAGAGTTGATACTGCACAGAACATAATTCTGCCTTCACATCTTCTTCTTTCTCTATGCTGAAGCTCATATATGACGAATACCAAAACTCGATGTCTTCTGTAATTTGTTAAGTGATTTGTATACTTTTTTATGTGGTTGTATACCTGATAACTTGAAACGATTTGTATACTTCTATAATATGCGTTGTGGATTTTCTAATTTGATTTATGGTTGTCTAGTTGTTTTAAAAACAAGCTTTAACATATTTTAAAATAATAATAAAAATAGGTAGACAATGCTAATGAAGTGTGTGTTCTACTTGTACAATGATTTTAATACTATCCTTAACCCGCTTTCAAATGTGTGTGTTCTTTGTTCAAAATAACACGTAAATCTCCCTCTCTCTCTCTCCCCTGTTTCTCTCCTTGCTAACTGCTCCAACGTAACTGAACTTCCCCTGTTCCCGTTCCTAAAAACTAGTACTAAAACCTCCCCTGTTTTGTTTCTCATACAGCAGCCGCAGATCAATATCCCAATTCCATGGAAGAAGACCATCAAGAGTCGAAACACGTGTGCAAATACTGCGGCAAGCGCTGCCGCAGTGGGAAATCGCTGGGAGGTCACTTGAGGTCTCATATGCGTCTGTTTCTGGAAGAGTCGTCTCAACCTGATGCAAAGCGGAGATTGAGAAGGAAGCTATTTCCCCTTAGCAACAAAAGTTACTTCAAACTTTGCTCTGTTCTGTTTTTTTAATGTGGTGTTGTGAATGATTCGTTCATACCGAAGATGGCAGAGTCCTTTCCTCTGCCTTTTATTTGCTTGATCTCATTAACCCACCAACCATTGTGTGTGCGTTTTTTGTTTTTGGGTCAGAGTTGAAGAGGGAGGAGGAGGACGTGGAAGCTTTCGTAGCGTCTTTGGACCCTAATCATGAAACATGCCCTTCGCGGATAGTGTCCAAATTGATACGGGAACGAGCAATTGGGTGCCTCTCCGCACTTCTCGAACGCAAAATTCCTCACAATCGCTTGGATCTGTTTGATGACAGCCGCGAACCCTTCATATTTGATGCGGCTGAGAGGGGGTTCTATGGAGCAGTCGAGTTGTTTTTGCGTCACGGGGTTCCTCCTAGTGCTAGGTTACCAGCAGCATGGTTTCGTCTACGAGAGCTGCTTCCCATCGATTACGCACTATATCCCAGCTGCGACGACCAGTGGGATCTGGAAACCGAGGAGAATGGTTATTATCAGCAAAGGCTCTGCACTTTGATGCTCTGGCTTCCCAAATGGATCAGTAAATATTTCGACTGGTGGCGCACGGTCAAGCTGCTGGCTCAGACCACCGAACAGGGGATTCTGGAGATGAGGATTTTCCGGTATGCAAGAAACGGCCAAGCGGCCAAGCTGCTCTGGCTCCTGCTTGCCGTCCCCGACCGAGTTCTCTCCCCAACATTCTTCAGGGGCACGTTTCTCCAGCAGCGGTTTGGAACCGCCTCCTTGTCCCTCCGCGATTTCCTGATTGCTCAGCTTGCTTTTGTCACTGGAGTTGGCCTCACCGTCGAACCCAATCGTCGTCCCCATCCTGACGGGATCCGCGGCGACGTGCTGTACAAGAAATCGAGCCTCACTTGTTCCCTGCGATTGCTTGAAGTCTTCCGCAGGGCTGGCCCTCAATTGTGTCGCTTAATGGAAATGTTAGAGAAGGAAAAGCAAAGAAGAAAAGAGCAAGGGGAAACGTATCCTTATCCGGATTACACAATTGCTCAACAGTTCAAGACTGTGCTCAAGGAAGCTGGCTTCCCTGTGGCTTCTCTCCGTTGGTACTTTACTTACTTGCCTTGTTAACTTTGTTTTTGTAGTATGCATCTATGTATCTAAATCTTTGCCTTTTGTTTGTTGACAGCCCGGTCAGAACTGCTCACCAGAGTCACAAGGAGGAGACTGACTACGGCTGGTACTAACTAACCCACTAAGTAACATCTATGGCTTCTCTTGTTGCTGTTCTGTGTACATTTACTTAATACGGAAACTTAACCGGCTTGAGCGGTGGTCCTATAGGCTTCCCCAGAGAGACGACTACCCCGAACTGGAGTTCTTGATTCGACCACCACATGTCCGTAGAAGTGAAATTCTTGATTCAGACTTTAACAAGGCCATCGAGAAGTTGTGGTACACAACCTTCACTCATTGTTTCGATTGTGAACTAGAAATTGTTGTTTAACTTGCATGCACAAATGTGTAGTGATTCAACTGATTCTTTGCTATTCTTCTCCAGCCAGCATCCTCACCTGAAGGAATGGACATCCCAAATGTCCATTTTCAAGTTGCTTTTCATATTCTGCCTCCCTGACGTGGTAGAAAACATGCAGTCCGTGTTACGATTCGAGCTCAAGGATGTTAACCCTGCGAATATAATCCAACCTACGCATCTTGCTGAGTTATGTTTTATTTACGTTACCGAGGGGCGAATCGTTGAATTCGCATCTGCTCTAGTGACTGCTCAAGTTCATCTTCGGTTGGGGTATCCACTATGTCCTAAAATGTTTTATGATGATGGTGATTATAGTTACAAGACTGCCACCCCTACCGTATATGAATCATTGTTGCATGCCATGACGAGAGTGCTTGATGAAGAAATCAGTTTAACTGGGAAACCGAAGGGCAATGACTCTGTTCAAGTTTGCAAGGAGAAAAAGTCATTGATATCTTCTGCATTTCTACTAACAAAGATAGTCGAAAAATCTGCAAAAGATATTCATTGTTATCTTCACTCATCAAGATATAAGGTGCGAGGTTTCGTGTCTAAATTTTCATTTTGATAAACATAAAATATGATCAGTTAGTTGGTCACGCTCACCTTGAATGTATTGTTCTGTTTCCTCAGGAACTTGGTGATTTGAAGCTCATAGTAAAAGATGTTGCTGCCTTACTTAGAAAACGCATGGGCTTTGTGTTACGATCTCGACATACCTGTGTGAACGACCTGAAATGGTATGTATTTATTGTTCTTTTCTTGTTGATACACGACATCAGGTTTGAAAGCGATTGCACTAGCATGCAATGTGTTACTTACAATCTAATCCATATTATATAGCTAGACAATATCATTTTCCTTTTTCGATGTTGCTAACTATATATTTTTGGGTGTTGTCATAGTTTCTCAAACAAATCAGATATCGGAGAATCCGATTTAGAAGGAAAATTATCATCATTTGGACAACTTTCGAAGAGAGTAAAGCCGTCGACGGTTTCTAAAAGAACAATTGAAGGATCAACATTCCTTGCTTCATCCATTAGCAATCTTTCAGCTCGCTCTTATCACTCATACCAAATTTCAAGGTTTGAAGGATCTAAGGCCTCATTACCGTCGAGAAACCGGGTAAATTTTGTTGTGAAAAAGCTGGAGGCAACAAAACGATTGGACACTATGTCGAGGAAGAGTTGGAGGTTCTTGGCAGTGATCACGAGAGTAATGACCTGGTTCTAAATTCTGCCCTCTTTGAGCTCTTACATCACAGCCTATGACATGCTTGGGTGATTGGAGTTGGTGGGTCAGTCAAAGAGCCATTCTGGGTTTGGTCAGCAACCCATTTGCTTGCAGCTTCAGTGTAATGCACTCCATCCCAACTAGCATAAACAGAAGGGTCTTTACATGAGCCACCATAGATTTCACTTCCATTGACTTGCCCTTTGTTTCCGCACCATATGTGGTCATACTTCACATGGTAACCACAGCAAACCTTCAGTGGATCAGCAAACCCTGCAAGAAAAAATTCCCCAGAGTGAATGAAGAGAATGAACATTCATTTTTGGACTAATGAAATTAGCAAGCACCTAGTATGGTTTTTGGCAAATAAGTTTTCATATGTTGTTTATCCCTTCAATAATTCTTCTAAATCCTTTACTAATGTGGACAACTCATGCTTACTAACTCAAAAGCTGACTTTTCTATACCTAATCTCTTTGCATTGGCAATGAGTCCATTTTTAGCAGCATGAACATCAACATAGACAACTGCAGCTTCCTTGAGCTCTTCCCTCAGCTTTGTAACTCTATCCTTCAACTGCCTATTGAACTCAATTGACATCTCATTCTGAGCCTTGACGCAGCCAAGCTCATCGAGGTAACCCTGTGGGGGAGGATTCGAGACGTAGAACAAGTTCACAGGCAAGCAGCCAAACGGACCCGTGTTGTGGATCCAGAATGACCTTCCTCCTTGCTCATACAAGTGCTGAAAGTAAGGAAAAATCAAAGCAGCAATGGAAACATGAATGTCCTTTCGTGTCTAACTTTCCAACTTGTCTAAAGCTTAGATTGGTGGTATCTAACTCATATACTTACTTTGACTGCTGCAGCCAACTGGTTAACAATGTCGGGCAGTGCTGCTTTGAGTTGGTCAGGACCCAACCTGAAACCAACAGACAGATCATTCTGGCCAATATCGAAAGTGTAGAGTGCCTTTGAGAATTCCTCTGGTCTTGGAAGCTTGTCTGCCTCCGGAGTACCCTTCACTGCAAATAAAAGAACCTACCAAACTTGTAAGTGCAAGTGTAACAGAACAAGAAAAGGAAAGAGTTCAAATTTCGGTAGACAGACGTTTCAAACAGTAAAGATTGGAGCTTTAATTTTCCTGGTTTGAGAGCAAAGCTTACCCTGATTGTAGAGATCTGCAGTTCTAGCTTTGAACTGATCAAACTGCACAATCTGCATATCAAGAGCAAAAGGGCTAATCCCATACTGGAAAATGGTCTCATTCTGCCTCCTGATTGTCGAGCCACCAGTAGCAAAATTGGCTCCATGCCTGTAGTTGGCCCCAATTGAGTTTAAGTACGCGCTCAAATACGGCAATTTTAGCCTCTCAGCTGCAACAACAAACACGAAAACAGAGTAAGAGAAAGTTAAGCAAAAAGAAACCAACTTTTTCCTTCTTCTTCCTCGATACTTATACCTCCACTAGCATATTACCTATGAAATCCACAGTAAGGCGGCCATCGGAGTCCCGACCAGCTGGCTTGTGGAAGAAATGCTCGCCGTATGGAGCTGAGATTGGGACGAACGCAGCAGATATCCCTCCAGTGTCTGAATTCGAGTCCCCAAAGTTGTAAATGGCTGGGAATGCGCAGGGGGCCGCCAAACCAACACTTACTGAGCTCAAAACGCAAAACAACAGAAACCCAAAAACCAAATCCCTCCCGCAAAGCAAACCCATTTTTGCCGAGATCTCCTATGAACAAAGTTCTCAACTTATTCTGTTTCCCCTTTGGATATTTATACAGAGCGGGGGATGGTGGAGAAGAGAACCACTTTTTTTTTTTTTTTGTAGAAAGAGAACCCACCTTTGGCCTTTGGGGAAAAGGGTAAAGGACAAATGATGGAGAGAGTCCCCATTTTGCATTTGGCATGTAATTTGTTTCATATGCCAATCAGTGTCAGAATCAAGAATGGTAAACAGACTGGAGTGGAGATTAGGAATTACCAATTTCAGCAAGTGATGTAACTCGATCACGAGGCTGGAATCTGGATAGCCGTTCGATGATGACGATGTGTGCGTGGGGTAGTGTTATATGTGCAACTACCGACAAATATTGAGGTCAATAAATGCGGCATAACGAGCGAAAAGATTTCACAGCTTCTCGATTTAGTACTTGCAGATGGCAGAGAGAACATGGGAGCTGCCGCTGCCTTCCCTTGCTTCGTCCACTAGCAAACTTTTAGCTCACTCTTATCAGTGCTATCACTCATTCCCGATTTCAAGGCACGAAGGAAGAATACAGGCTCATCCTTACCGTGGGAGGCAGGATAAACTCGGTTGTGAAAACGTGGTGGCTGGAAAAACATGCAGACGGTAGGAGGAAGATTCTGCGGTTCTTGGCAACGATAAAGAAAGTAATGATGTGGTTCTAAGTTCCAAGGGCAGATAAATTATAATTTTTAGTCGTCTCAATCGCATTTATTATGGACGACATAACTAGTTTATATCCATGAATGCCTCTTGAGTCTTGAGACTTGGCCTGGACATATACGTCTTACCATAGAACTCAAATTGACGGGATATAAAGCGAGTTTGAATAAAATCAATTGAGACTACAGAGAACCTCTGAATTCACATTACTAATTGATTTATAGATAATTCACAACAGATTACAAGGAATTTAGCTTGACGTGTTCTTAGGAAGTTTTGGATTGAGGAGCGATAGGGGAGTAGTCCAAAACCGGTTTTAACTTCTACAACAAGATAAGAACATTACTTATATCATTTAAGATTATACACAGCTATGGACAATGGGGTAGTTTTTTTCATTGGCGATGGCCATCTGGTAAGGGTACAACCTTATGGAAAGGCACTGTCCTTTGAGGCAATGCTCCATCTTCTTCGTCGTCATCAAACTCCAGCAGATAACTGCACAATTGTAAGAACAAAACATTTAGAAAAGAACATGCTCAGATTAGATTGGCGTCCAAGATCAGAAACTGAGGGTAGTACTTACTCGTCGGACTTCCTCTGGAGACATGTAAAGAGCAGACCATGCAAAGAGGCAATTCATCAGTCAATGATTCAAAAGTAATCTCTAACTGTGGTACTGAAAATTGAGAAGGAAAAGAGCCAACCTTTCTGGGAGGATTTGCAACGGTTGCCTTGTAGAGTGCTGTTGTTCCTGGATATACCGCCAGGACGTGTCTCCCCGGAGGGAAATCGGGAGCACTTGTTGGATCGTTTCTCTTCGGGAAAGGGATGATGCATGACATCGGTAGCCTGTACTTCCTGGAAATCAACACAATGGCAAGATGAACTTTAGCATGCAGTATAAATGGCCCAGGAACGAAATAGGTAGAAGGAAGATGACATCAGTAGAGCAAACCCTACCCTTGTCCACCACCACCATCTTCATCATCACCCGGTTCTTCATCAAATACCTCAAATCTGCAAATTATACACACATCAGCTTATGATAGATAAACAGCTGGATTTTGCTTCAGAATTTATCTTCTTCAATTAGCATTTAAAGGAGAGTATGAAAGGCTACCAAAAATGGAAACTGTTCTGTAGTGAAGGGACTCACTCTCTTTTCTCTCTATCAAAATGCATGACCTTTACAACAAACCATTCATCCTTTTCGGCATCATCGCCTGTAACCCTGGCCGCTACCTGAAAAAAGTATATAATTACCTTTGAAGTGAAAAAAACAGGAAATACAGCTGCAGTAATGAATGAGAAAGCCATATTTGCTAAGGAAACAACAAATCAGACAAAGCGCAGTAATACCTGTTCACCAATCAAGCTGGCACAAGAATCGAGTTGACTTCTCATAGAAGGTGAAAGCCTAGGTATATCTGGGTCGGCCTTCATTCTTTTCCTTTTCTGCTCATTGCCTTCTGCAGTCAATTTAGACATCTCGTAAGTACAAATCTATCAATCACAAACCAGCAATGTCACTAGAGATGTTACTAGAATCGAAGGCACAAATCTATCAATCGCTCATGGCTGATCCAAAAACGTTTACACTGCTTCAGTAACTTACAAAGGAATATCTACAATGTTACTCAGTCGAAACAAATGGATTACAGCTCTGCATGAAAGCTTGAAGTATGGTGACGGCCAAAGTAGGCAGTTACTAGCTTACTATGATCTTATCATACCAACCAATAGATTCATAACTGTCCAATATGAACAATTCATCACGAGTTCAGCACATACCAATTCGCCTTCTTTGCTGTCCTGGAGGACCATGCGGCAGGAGGGCATCAAGCTGAGTCAACAAGGCATTAGAAACACTGCAATGAAAGTTAGATGACTGAATTAGTTGATCTGGAAGAACATAAGAACCAAGGAAATGACAGCACTACAAGAACTGAAGAATCGTGTGAGTAATTATGCTAGGGCCATTACTTTATTTCATTCTCCGATAGATCCCTGGCCTGCATATATAGCAATTTTAGCTTCTGCAACGAGTTGTCACCAGGCTTTTCAACCACCTCTGGAGCTGCATCATGCAAATAATGAGAGAGTTAATAAATCCTGTTGAAAGGAACATATGAGGACTGCCAAATGAAGAATTTCAGTAAGAACATACAAATTTGAATTAATCCAAACTACATTTTGATTGATATCTACAGACAAGGGTAGTTTACTCATGCATAACCAAAAGGCAAGTAAATATCTAACACCAAAGGGTTCAGGAGATCACTGAACAAAATGTGCAACGATAGTTGCTGTTCTCCAGGAAACAACATCCTGGTGATATAGAAGCGAACTTTAGTACAAGATCAAGCGCAGTGCAGGAAATTCCTCTGTGCTTCCAAGCTAATAAGTCCCCGATTATGTAAGAGTTGCCCAAAACATATCTACAAGTCAGATCCCAGTATCTCTAGTATCTATTTCAGTTGGCTTTACAAATTAATGTTGTACATGACTTAAATAGTTAGGGCTTTTGATCTCATCGAGGGCACTTAACAAACGGTGGAAACCACATCTTATGGGTTAAAACAGTTTATCATCAAGTTGAGATGTGAAATGGACCAAGTAAAGGATGGAGCTACATTGCATGCTTATAGAAGAAAATTTACAGTAACAGGATAGACATGCAACCATACAAGACCCATAGCACAAAGTATATATCAGTAAGGTAGGCTACTAACCACGATTAGCAGAGTTAATCGCATTAAATGTAGAAATGCAAGCACAGTTGAGCAAGGAAGCATATCAGAATGCATAAATAGAATCCCAATCACTGCTTTCCGCCCTAAGCAATCCATACGCGGAAGCCCCCAAACCTAACCAAGTTTGAGAACATAACTGATGCCAAACAAATCACACTTGGATCAGTTCTAAAAAGCAGATTCCACCTCGAAGAAACTAACCAACAACACATCCTCGGATACCATGAGCTTAGTAATTTGTTCATAGAGTAACCTGCTTAAGCTCTTATCCTTCTCAAGGATCACATTAAATATGTAGTTGTTAAACAAATTCTTATTAACAAATTCTTAATAATCATACAGTCGACATTACATTCTTGGTCCAGCTGGATAACGATCCTACATTCAAACTAAACCCAAGCAAGCCAAACCTACTATGAACTCTCAGAACTGGGAAAACCCAGTAGTCTAAAGACACAAACTTTCAGTTAATACTCCACAAACCCATGACAACCCAGTACCCAAAAATTGGAGTTCTCGTAGACATAACGGAAACCCAACATTCAAACTAAACCATTCCGCTCATTGAGGAGGGGGGAAATTAACGATACAAATGATGGGGTTTTGGAGGGTTTGCTTACTTGCTTGAAGCTTCTTGTGCATCTTGTTGATCTCCATAAGAACATCCTCTTGATCTTTCCGCAGCCGATCGAGTTCCCTCGAATTGTCCATGATTCCGGAGATTTCCGCTGAGGACATTTCCCGGCGGGGGTGCAGTTCGGGGAAGCGGAAAGGGAATGATTTTGGTTGGGAAGAGGAGATGATTGCACGATTGACTGTTGATTGACGATGCTGACGAACTGAAAATTTGATTAACTGCCGCTTTGCTTTGCCTGGACGATTTTCGAGCAAATGTTTCTCAGTCCGTGGTCTTCGATCAACTCCCTTCTGACATTTTTCTTTTCAATTATTAAGTGCAATTTTCTATATTATTGTCGGAGTAATAAATAGTAGTTCCAGGAAAAAAGAAAGAGGAATTTCAATTTTTGCGCTCCTTTCCACTTACGGTTATTAATTTTTCCCACCTCTTAATTATTATTGTTATATTCCATAATTGCTCAAAATCATTAATAAAATTAATGATTTTCTTAGATTCAACGAAAAAAAAAACTATTTCCTAAGATAAATTCGGTAAAATTTTATTATAATTATTATTCAGAGAGAATATAATAGCTCATTTGATGGCTAGGAATATTTTTTTAAACATATTTTTGGATTTTAATTTTACTATGTCGAAAGAAAGAGTATACTTTATAAACTTTGTAAGTTTTATGAAAAAGTGAGTTATTTAAATTGACAAGTAGAATTTAATTAGTAAAAAATATCATCGTAAATTATTGTTCCAAATCAATCTTGAGAATTTGGGATAAATTAATAATTTGTTATTTCAATGAATCTATTGTGTGATTTCAAATATTAAGTTTTCATTGAAAGCACTTCAAATTATTTTCTTAAGGAAATATTAATTCAAATGTCCTGTATCGAAAATATAATGTAAAGAATCATCAATATATTAGTTAACATGACCCTTGTGTCATTTTATCTATCCTTAGGCCCCGTTTAGTATCATTTTGTTGCTGTTGTGGTTGCAGTGGTGTTGTGTAAACAGATGTACAACCACAACAGGAAAAAAACAGAAAACACAAACCTGTTTAGTTGATAAATCTGATAAATCATGAAAACTGAAAACAAGAAACAAAAACGCGTTTAGTTACTACTATAAGAACTAAAAACCAGAAAAGAGATGGAGTAAGGCGTTTATGGAGGGGAAGTGGTCGGCGGTCGGCGGCCGGCGGACTGGCGGCGGAGGCAGGGTGTCGGCGGCGGTTGCGCGGGCGGACGTCAGCGGGCTGGGCGGCTGCGCGGGCGGAGGCGAGGCGGCGCTGGGCGGAGGCGGAGGGTCGCGCCGGAGGCTGGGCGAGGGCGACCTTCGGAGGTGAACTCCTCTGTCGTAGAGAAGAAGATGGAAAATGGTATGGGGGCGGCTGATAGTGATATGTTGAAGTAGGATTTGGGGGGGGGGGGGCGGCTGAGTTTTAAAAAAAGAAATTTTTTTGCTTCTGTTGGGATTCGAAAAGTGGTCTGGTTTAATGAAATCAAGTGCCCAACCAGTAGGAATCCCGTGTGCAACATGTTTAAGAATCAGATCCAAAGCAATAAATTATTGTTTCTCATATTTGGGCCTTGTTGTGCAACTCTGATTCACAACAGAAAATAAAAATCCAACTAAACACGATTTATTTTCTTGGTTTTCCAAATTTCATAAAACAAAACAGACAACAAAAACAAGCAACAATACTAAACGGGCCCTTATTTTATGAGGGTTGCTAATTGTCGCCCTAAGTTTGATAATCGCCCTAACTAGAATGACCTAATTGCCCTTATTAAAACACAATTGGAAAAATTAACCAGATGCTTAATTCCAATTGCCCGTCGCCAACATCCTGTCCGCTCGCCTTTCTGACCACCGCCAAAACCTCGCCTCTACGCTCTCCGACAAGGTATTATTTTAGGGGAAACTGCTGCGGTGGCGATGGAGTTTCATCCCTGTTAGTGGACTTCTGCCGGTGGCGGCGACGAAACTTGATCTTTGTAAACTGCTTAGTACTTGTTAGCATTAGAGTGGCGGGGTAATGGGTGGTGAAAATCGGAGCTTTTGGGGCAGGAAGTGAAAGAAATTGGCATCCATATCTCTGGGTGGGAAGAGAAAAATTTTCGTCCATGGTTATTCTAGCCCGGAAGAATGGAGGATTATGGATTTTAGAAGTTGATTGTTTTGTTGAATTTAATTTGATTAATGAAGGATAATTAAGTAATTTTATGTTTTAAATTAGGGCGATAATATTAAAGATAGGGCGACGTTTAGCCATTCAGTTACATCATTGCCAGTTAAATGTTTAGTTAGTGAATGTTTTGTTTAAGTAGTATTCTTAGTAATGGGATCATTCTTCATTTCTTTGTTGTGGAAAATATATTGGTATTTGTTAATAATTGTAAGTATGAATATTCAATACTGAGCTTCATTTATGTTAAGAGTTAAGACTATGTGATTGTACAAGTTCTCCTTGGGAGTTACCGCATTGACCTTATATTAGTTGTAAATTATCAAACGAGTCAACCTATGATCGATTTTGATCATAATAATAAGTTGCATTAGAAAAATAATTCAAACATTATGCGATGATTTCTCACACATTTACACTTTAAGTTATCGAAAAGTGAAACTGGTATCAAATTCTTAGATCATGATCCATCCACTGTGATTGTTTGGTGCAACACTCATTATGAGAATCAAACAAAGTGGTGGATAATCAATTAAGTACACAAAAAAAAAAGTGAACTTTATTATTTTTTAAGAAGTCTAACATAAAATTGTTATCTTTTATTTACATAACAGTCTAATAAAGAATGATTGTCCGATGATCAGTTGCACAAGAGGATTTGTCTCGAACAATGATCGATGTAAAATATCATGCTAGTTGAGCCTTATAATGCCTCTCAACTCGTTTAGAAAGTGAGGGTGCACATAACTATTGCTCCAACTAGATTCATCATGAGGCAACGATTACAATATTTACTAATGATCCACAAAATGAACTACCATTATATTTCTGCCATAATATTTACCGATTAAGAGTCGATAAACTGAATTTTGATATATGAGAGTTAGGCATCTATATTCTATATTGAGAGCAAAAAGTATAGAGCAAAATCAGGTGATTACTGATTAAATGTCTAGCTAGGAAAAGACTTTATATAACCTTATAAGATGTTGGATATTGACATATTCTTGGGGCATGATCTTATGTTTGATGATAATGATTCATTGATTTGACCATTCACCAACGAAACTAACCACCGAGCGAACAGACGTCAGTATTCCGGTGAGGCCGCTCCCACGTTGATCGCCTCCTCCGGCGCTACAGCAACCCAATAACAGTCCATCAGACCCAAGCCACGTCATCCTTTTCCCCGGGCGTACCCACCTGAGCATCACACCCAAGCATTCCCTTTGCCGGGAAATCACCGGAAAGCTCCCCGGGGACGCTTGTCAATCAATCGAGTCGTACAGCAAAGTTAAAAAAATATATTAATAGAAAGTTTATGGAAAATATTATTAATCTTTTCAAATTCCGTGCTTCCTTTAGACGAAAATGGAAAATGCGACAGAAATGGCGATGCCAATACTACTTCTTCTCTTCTCCTTTCCCTTTTCAGCAGGCGACCGATCGTAGTCTCGAAGCATCAGCGAATTTTTTTCCGGCTTCGTATTCTCGGAGAACAGGACGACCGCCGGCGGGTTGGCTGATTTTCTACTACCCGGTTTGGTTACCTAGAAAGAGAAGCCCTGATTCAATCAATCGTCCTCTCTCAAGGAAAGAAGGAAAGCTCCAAAGTTATTTACAGGTGCCGGCGACAACCATTTGTTCGTTTGTTTCTCATTGAGTCATTGTATTTTGGGTTGGTGAAATAAACCTTTTTTTTTTTTGCTGATTTGGGTTGGTGGAATTTTGGACAAGGGTTCATCCAAACTGCATTTCCCGGTATTGGAGCGTAATGAAAATAGCGTTTCTTGAATATTTCGGAATTGGTTAACCATCTTGTTGCTGTTTTCTGCTTCTGGGTGGAAAGCGATCTGTGTAATTTTATTTCAGAGAAACAGAGTCTATGTCTTTTTTTGCCTTGGATTGGGCATCTCTGGGTATTGAACCGGCATTTTTGTCTGTATATCGTTGGTTTAGATGTAGAATTGAACTGAGTTTATGCTTAAATTGGTTTCTTGGAGTTGGAGATACCATGCAATGAAAGGAAGGGACTTTTTTTTCGTTTTCTTTTCATGGGGAGCTTCTGCTTGTTTCAAACTTGGTCATCTGAAGCACATCTATGAATTGTATGTCTTTACAGATTGAATTGCAGTTGATGACATTGTACAGCAGCTGGAACCCACTAGTCTGTGAAATTGGTATCGCTGCTCTTTGAATCAGAAGTGCAGTACTTATAATGCCAGTGCCCATTAGAAGGTGACTTAAGCTGCTTCTTTCATTTGGTTATGGCGGATATGGATCAAACTGTGAAGAATTACTTATCGTATGATGTGCTTTATTTCTCTTGTTCTCTGCGGTGGAAGTATCAGAAAACCTAGTGAAATGACGAAGCTTTTCATGACAACTCTCCTTGGCATCCTCTTTGGCTTCTTCTTGGGAATATCCTTGCCAACACTGTCCCTCTCAAAGGTTCATTGCCAATATTGTTTGGACGCTATTTTTTCTGATTAAGAGAACTTAGACTTATTTTTTGTTGGGTTTGGGATTTGCTAGTTGAATCTTCCAACCGGTTTGCTTCCTTCCTTTGACATCACTTACATGGAGGACAAGTTCTCTGGTCTTTCGCCACAAGCACTGCTCAATGCTTTGTCCTCTCTAAGGGGACATAGTATACATTCCTTGTTATTTCACCGATACAATGGAACCAAGGTATGTAGCTCTACCAGTAGTGCTTGTAATTTATCTCGAGGGTAAGCTGATGAAGTCGAGCTGTATGTTTTTTTAACATTAATGCAGATATGGGTCAATGAAAATCCTAGAGGTGCTGAGAGGTTACCTCCTGGTATAGTAACTTCTGAGTCAGACTTGTTCCTTCGACGATTGTGGGGTATGCCTGATGAGGTCTGTTATTTATGAGTTCAACCGAATAAGCATAATATCTAAGAAAATGTATTTAGCTGTTACAAAATGTGATGATGGCTTACCTAGGCTTGTGGTCCGCGTCAAGTTCTTTCATGTCTTCCATATGTTCTCCTTTGTTGATGGTGGTCACATTCGCAGGACTTGGCAGTCCAGCCGAAGTATCTTGTGACATTCACAGTTGGGTATGAACAGAGAAAGAATGTCGATGCAGCAGTTCAAAAGGTCAGTCTAATCTCAAGCATACTTTTTACTTCCACTTGGGTTGTCATTCTGATCACCAACTTGTATACATGTAAGCAGTTCTCTGAGAACTTCACCATCCTATTGTTTCACTATGACGGCCGGGTAACCGAGTGGGATGAATTTGAATGGTCAAAGCGAGCAATCCACGTGAGTGCTCCCAAGCAAACGAAGTGGTAAGCTAGCTCTTCTCTCATCTCATCTCACCTCATCTTCCTAATTTTGACTTTGTGGATCAAGCTTAATTTTTTCTCGTGGATCAAGCTTAATTTTTTCTTACTACTTACTAGTTAATTAAACTCTATCTTCTGAAGGTGGTTTGCCAAACGGTTTCTTCACCCGGATATTGTTGCAGCATATGATTATATTTTCATGTGGGATGAGGATCTTGGGGTGGACCATTTTGATGGAGAGGAGTGAGTGTGACACATTTAAGAATCCTTTTTTCTGATTGAGGATACGTAAGACTTGAATCTCAAGGGTAAGATTGTCCATATTTCCAGGTACATTAGACTGGTGAGGAAATATGGGTTGGATATATCTCAGCCTGCTTTAGATCCTGAAAGAGGGACCACCTGGGCAATGACGAAGAAAAGATATGACACTGAAGTTCACAAGTAAGCAGGGCCCAGAAAAAAGAAAGGAATATGCTTTCTCTTATGTGGTCAAATTTAGAGCTTCTTTAGTTCTCTTGTCAACCTTCTTGCATCCCTGTAGGCATACTGATGAGAAACCCGGTTGGTGCAAGGAACCATATTGGCCGCCATGTGCAGCGTAAGTAAAGCAAACAACATTCACCCTGGTTGATGTGTTATCCTGGGATTGCATTAATTCCGAGTGCTTAATGCACAGATTTGTGGAGATTATGGCTCCTGTATTTTCCCGAGAGGCATGGCGATGTGTTTGGCATATGATTCAGGTGCGTCATTACGACCATTCCACAGCTGCTTATCATATGATATATGAGTTGGATCTTTTCTAAAGTTCTATACCAATTCTTTGCAGAATGACTTGGTTCATGGATGGGGTCTTGACTTTACCATGAGGAAATGTATTGAGGTCTGTAATGTGGTGATTTCTTTTGAACCTTTCTTTTCTCCACCTCTTCCGGCTGTAATATAGATAGCCATTTGAATCACAGCCTGCTCATGAGAAGATCGGAGTGGTAGATGCTCAATGGATAGTTCATCTAGGCATTCCATCCCTCGGGAACCAGGTAAAATCCCAAAGATACCCTTATCATTTGTGAAGGGAATGTAATTGGTTATTTCTCCCCCTTTTCTTCACTTTGCAGGGAACATCAGAGAAAGGGAGAGCGCCATGGGAAGGGGTAAGAAATGACTCACTCTCCCACCATATTGTCAGGCTCCTTATTGCATATGGATCTGAAGTGTATGAAGAAACATGTTTTTGAGCTGACTTTTCGGTATCCTTATCCCAGGTGAGGAAGAGGTGTCAAACCGAATGGAGGATGTTTTATGAACGCTTTGCACAAGCGCAGAAAGCCTATTACTGGATGCTGAGATTTCGTCGAAGAAGTAATAATGTCACGAATAGCTAGAAGGATCTGGAATGATCATTGATTCCCACCCTTACTGTAAATTCCACTTCCAGAGCTCCTACAAAATGACCACAATCAATCAGAAGTAGCATTTTAGGTTTTCTGTCTTTTTTATTTTCATTAAGTGTGTTATTGAGGTGAACTTTACTCGAGCTGTAGCTCACAGGTGATTCACCATTTAGACTGCTCACATCATTTTTGGCCAATCATCTTGTACTTCTTGACACAGTTCTAAAAAAAGGCTTAAAAGTGCTTACGTCTGCATCTTTTTCATCGAGAAGAATTATGGAATCGGTTTTTTCTCCCCATTGCTGTTCAGTATGTTTCTTTAGTCCAGGTTCAACGGTCAATAGTGCGTCCAATGGCCCAATAGTTTACTTCAATACCATGCTGCAGGTAACGGCGAAAGTTGAACAGACAATCCAAGTTGAGCAGACAATACTCCGATTCCTAATGCTAATGGCATTGTGCAGACAATTCATGAAATGGGAAATGTATACATATTGCAAATTGTGCATACAAAATGGACCTATAAATTAAAAAGAGGAAAGAAAATGGTACAAAATTTCAGCTACAATATACAGATTACAGATCACAAAAATTATCACTCTCATTCTGGCTGCCTGTGTACTTGGAAAACTTATTCGAGTATCAGAATTCGGAGGATAGTTTGGCAGGTGGCAGCCTTCATGATGTTAATGACTGAGGGCCAGAAGTACTCAAAGGTGCAGTTAGAAATAGGATTTGGCGATTGCATCCTCCAGCTCCTTAAATTCCCATGCATCATCTGCTGCATATTCTCCTGCAATCCAAGCAAAGCATAATTACCGGTTGACCTCTTGAAAACTGGTAGAATGCTTCCCCAAAACCATTTTACAAAAGGATATTCTTCTTACCTATTGAATCTCTTCGAAGAGCAGTTAAGTGAGCACAACTGCGAGTTGAAAACCAACAATTTAGTCAGCGAAACCATGGTAAGCAAGAATTATTGACCGCATCAAGAGAAATGAGGAAGTTGCATACCTGCCAAGAGCCTTCCCTAAGTCTGCACATAATGATCGAATGTATGTCCCTTTCGAGCACGTCACCCTGAAAATCAGATTTTGTCTGCAAGAGCCAGACATCACTCGCTCAGTTCAGACTCAAGCCCTAGAAGAATTGCATGGAGAACAGTAATAATAAACAGCTGAGGTATTGATTTATTGAAATTGTGAACTTGGCAAAATGAATTGAAGTTAAGATAGCATTGATATTCATTTAAGGTTCCAAGTAAGATTTCAGAAACCTGTACTCTAGGCTCCTTTCAATGTCAAACTGGAAGATTGAGATTCTTCTTGGTGCAAGCTCGACACTTTCTCCTCTTCTGGCTTTATCATACATCTTTTCCCCTCCTACCTATAAAAAACAATAGAAAACTCTGATTTAGGAGAAACAAGTGAATTCAACATTGTTTTATATTTGAAACATGAGAAAAACAATTGCTGTAGATATTCTTTTCTGTAAGGAACTAAGAGAATTTTTACTTTGATGGCTGAGAACATTGGAGGAACTTGCCATATCTCCCCAACAAACGAAGCAGCAGTTTTCTTAATGTCGTTGTCTTTGATGTGCTCCCAAGGCTCACGCTGAATAACCTTCACAAATCAAATGCATCGAATTTACTTTAAGAATATATAGATATCATTGAAGGCCTCCTTGATCTACTTCTGACCAAGTGTTACTTATAATTCGACAACAAGCAAATATGAGAATAACAAGAGAACAAGCACCTACGGGAGAATCAGCATCCCAGGTTGAAGTAGCTTCCCCAAGGCGAAAAACTCCACTATAACCCTTGACCATGCCTTGGTAGCTGCATGAGAACAAATCCTCCATCTTTGATCACATATTCAAAATATAAAAGCCTATCCTGGCAGGCAGAACGAAGAATTGCCATAGCCGAAGAGTGAGAAGATCTGTGCTTCGGCACCAGTAGTATTACCTATCAACTACTTTAGTCGCTTTGCCAACGCATACAATCAACAAACCAGTCGCCATTGGATCAAGAGTTCCAGCATGCCCAACCTTTTAAGACATATCCGTAAGAAATTCATCAGAGAACAAGATTTACTCAAGAGATGGAACAGAGAAAAAGTAAGCACCTTTTTCACTTTGACCAGACGACGGAGCTTCCCACATACTGTAAATGAAGTCCACCCTGTTCTCTAGCAAAACAAGATAAATGTAAAAAGTAACTCTTCATAATCCTATATCATTATCACAGCATAGAGTAGATAATCATCAATCACATATAATTGCCTCTAGAGCTTTTCATATAATCATGCTTCCTGCATGCTTCCCTTCCCAATAAATCCTCACACCATAAGGAACTGACAGCTAACACTATTCCACCAACCCTTCATCCACCAGAAAATTCCAGTCTTTCCAGCCTACTCAACATTGCAACATAAGGGATCCCCAAAATCGCAATTTCAAACTAATCTAACTAATCGGATTAAGCACCATTGCACTCCCATGATTCAAACAACCAGCTCAAACAATGGAATCAAATTCCAAACCAATTGCAATGAAATCCAACAACAGATAAGCGAAGTGAGCAAATAAGCTCTCACCTTTCGGCTTGTTAACCAAAACCACAGTGCCATAAGGACCATCCCAGGTGGGAGGAAGCCCATTGCTCCTACTAGCAAGAAACGGCTCTGCGTTCCCAACTTCCCCCTCATTACTCCCAGAACCCTTCTTCAACACCTTGAAGAAATCAGCCACTTTCTTGTGCGTAACATTCTCATTCACCACATCCCCAGCTGAACCACTCCTCATTTCTCCTTCCTTCCCCTCCTCAAAAAACACTAACTTTTCATCTCCTCCTTCACCTGCTCCAATGGCTGCCGACACATCACTCTTTACTCTTCCCTTTTTACTCTTACTGCTTGTTTTCGAGTCCTTGGGATCCATAAAAGCCTTGTCGAGGCACTGATCAGGAAAATACTTCTTCTCCAACTGATAAACCATCTTGTAATGCTTATCCTTCTCCCACGGATAAGCCATCGCGTCGAAGAAGTATAGCTCCTCTTCTCTCTTGTGCAACCGATGAAACTCCACCACCTCGGGCTTCAACTCCACGAAACCTTCCTCATCGGCTTTTCTACTCGCCTCCTCGTCGGAATCCGTGCCGTACATCCTCTTCATCCTCTTGCTGTAATACTTCCTCTTCGACTTGTCCATCTCCGACGACAGCTTCTGATCGACCCAGTCGTCGAATCCCGATTCCGGGTCGGGACTCGGAGCGGAGCCTGGGTCGTCTTCGGCGGCGGCTCGAGTGGGATGTTGTAGCTGCCGGCGGCGACGTGGGTTCACGGAGGATTGGGTCGGGCGGCTGATGATCATGTCGTATTGGAGAGGGTAAGGGGTTTTGGAGGAGAAGCGGGTTGATAATACGGGTCGGCTTCTGGTGAAGAAGGTGGGGACTATTGGCGGGTGCGTGAGAGTTGCCATTGTTGATAAGGGAGGTGGGACTGTGGGTTTTGAGCGGAAGGAGAAGGAAAAGAAGAAGAAGGCTGAGAGGGATTTCGCCATTGATAAGCGCAAAGATTGAAACTTTTTTTGGCTGGAGTTTTGCGCGGAAGAAGAAGAGAACAGTGAAGAAACGGGCCTTCTAAATCGGCCCAATCAAGAAACAGGCCCAGCCCACCGAGTAACAACGTCGCGGACAAGCTTCTACTCCTCCTTCTTCAGCGCTTTCACTTTCAATTCCCCAAATTCTTCCATCTGAAATTTAGGAAAGGGAACGAAAATATCCAAAATTTTCCCGCTCGAAAGCATGGATTCCGCGGCAGCGCCTTCGGCTTGGGGATCTGACGTGGAAGCCGGCGAGTGGGAGCTCCGGCATGACGACGATGGCTTCACTTACAAGATCCTGAAGCGCCCGCGGCTGGACGAAATCTCGGTGCCGGAGCCGCCGGCGGTGGATCCGGAGGCCGAAGAGAAACGCAGGAGATCCCGCAAGCAGAAGGTGCTTCTGAAATTGAAGGGCCGGTACCAGGAAGAGATTGATCGGTGGGAGCGTTTGTCGAACAGCTTGCGGGAAATGGAGGAGAGGGTTAGACAAGAGACGGAATCTCGGGAAGTACAGCAATTTGAAGGGACGAATTTGGGGTCCCCGGCGGTGGAAGGCATGGAAGACTCATGTGCCTCCCTCGTGGATGAACTCCTGGCTAAGGTAATTCGCTGCTTTCCCAATTTCCACTAGCCTTGTTTGGCCAGAATTGTATGCCATGAGGGTGAAATTGCTCTGAATTTCTAGAGAAAAGCATCAACCCTGGTTTTCTAATTGCTGAATGTTAGCTCTTGTACTTAGGAGAAGGTTAGGTTAGACAAATTTTACCCCTGTTTACCTCCAACTCAGTCCTACTATTGGCGTTCACTTGACTTCAATTTGCTCTGGTTCTTTTAACAGTAGGGTTGCCTGTGTGAATAGATTAAGCTCAGGAATGCGTTCTTCTTGCCTAGGAAATTGGAGACTATTGCAAGAAATGAAGCATTATTTTGATCATTCTCTTATGTTTCCTTGCGAAGTATTACTATTATTCCCTATTTCCCTTATGAGAAACAAGGTGACTGCTTTTGACTCGTGTTTTCATTTTGGTGAACAATTGCAGGCAGACGCAGAAGAGAGATTGATCTTGAGTTTCTCAAACCTGTGTGACCAAGCAGAAGCAGCTTGCGATGCTCGTCAGGAACGTTTTGTGGAATCCTTCTTAGAGCTGCCAGTTTGGTCTTCACCTCGAGAGCTAATGGCTTCACTCTGTGATGACTGACGAGTAAGTTCCACTGAAGCTACTTGAGAAGGAAGGAGTGTGGTAGTTAGTTTGCCTCTGCATTAATAAATTACTGATGTTTAGGTATAGATAGTGAAGTTAGCGCAGCTTTTTGGTAGATATAAGTTGTCATCCTTGTTGATCTTGTAAGTATCTCTTTTTATTTGTTTTGAATGATAGAACTCAGAACTTCTCTAGGCGAATGTAATGTGGTTGAGAGAATAGAGATGGAGATATCGTGCTTGAGAGATTTACAATTGTTAGATGTTTGAGTCATAGGCTCATAGCTAACCCCATTTGTAAAATCTGTTGGTGAACTCGGAGTAAGCGAAATTGGATCAAAGTGTAACTTTTATTTCCGCAGAATATGTGGATCTAAAGTAGAGTGTGCTTTATTTATAAAAGAAGTAGTCTGCTTTACAATGAGGCAATTGGCAGAAAAAGGAGGCTCTCTTCTTTCTTAATGTCTTGACAAAAGA